TCCTCCTCCCTCCCTCCCTTCCTTATCACTTATTCAATCATTCGTTCAGAATAGGAAATACATATACATACATATGGTACAAAATGCACGAGGCACCACAAGACACAAAGGGTAACTGGTGAAAATTTTCCCTCCAATTCTTGACCCCTTCTGTATACAGGCAGCCACCATTGCCAGTTTCTTGTATGTCTTTTTGGGGAATAAATTATATGTACATATGACATAATTTCTCTATATGCAAATTTTTACACACATGGTAGCATACTGTACCCACGATTCTGCACCTTGGTTTCCCCCGTAGCATAATATATCTATGTATTGGTTAGTACTTTTGCTGCATAACAAATCACCCCATAGGAATTTAGTGACTTAAAATGACAAACATTATCTCACAGTTTCTGTGGGTCATGAACCCAGGAGAGGCTTATTTGGATGCTTCTGGTTCAGGGTCTCTCATGAGGTTGCAACCAAGCTGTCAGCCTGGGCTGCATCATCTGAAGGCTTGACTGGGGCTGAAGGTTTCACTTCTAAGCTGGCTGTTGTCAGGAGGCCTCAGTTCCTTGGCCCATGGCTTTCCTCATAGAGTCCCCTTGGAGTATTTGCACAATATGGCAACCAGCTTCGCCCAGAATGAGTGACCCAAAGAGAGTGTGAACAAAATGGAAACCACGGTATCTTTTATAACCTAACCTCAGCAGTGACATACTATTACTTCCATAGTCTGCTGGTTCACAGACCAGCCTTGGTGCAGTGATGGAGGAGATTACGCAAGGACACAAATAACAGGATGAGGCCCATTGAGGGCCATCTCGAAGGCTGGCTCCCACACTCGGAGATCCTTCCAAATGGATTCATTTTTTAAAATCCACATTCCTTTCAACAACTGCAATTATGTATGTAACAGTATTGACTTAACCAGCTCCCAACGGGTGGGCATTTAAGCTGTTTCCAGCCTTTTGCTTCCATGCGTGGTGCCACAGTGAACCTCCTTTGTACAATGAACTCTTACGCAGAGGTGCTTCTATATGCCCACTATGAGAAAATCTCCTTGTCTGTATTCTTGCCAACATCATATTATCAAAAATGTTCATTTTGGCCAGTTTGATAGGCCTGACCTAATCAGGTGAAGCGTGAAAGGAAAGATTCTCCTGCTGGCCTTGAGGAAGCAAACTGCCATGTGCTTCCCAACTGAGAGCTACCAAGAAAACAGGGCCTCAGTCATTCAACCACAAAGAAATAAATTCTGCAAACAATCTGTGAGTGCAGGAGAGGATTCCATGCTTCAGAGGAGGCCACAGTCCCCACTGAAGCCTTCACTGCAGCTCTGCGAGATCCTAAGCAGAGAACCCAGTTAGACAGCCCCAGCCTCCTGACCTGTGGCAACTGAGATAATAAATGTGCGCTGTGTTTGCGGTAATGTGTTATGCAGCAATAGGAAATGAATATATGAAAACAAGCAAACAAAAAAAGAGGCAATGAACATATTAGGTATCTCCCATTGTAGAAGGGTGTCTGCTGGTGGTTTTGATACACAGGAAACCGGGTCACATTTGACCTAGACCCCAGTTCCCCTCTCCCCTCCTCTGATGCCCATGTGTCTTCATCAGGAGACTATGAGGCATCACAATTTAGAACCATGTGCTTGGGCTGGGTTTTATCTTGGCTGCCCTACCCAGTGCCACTGTGCTCTGGTTCGTTCACCTCTCCTGAAAGGGCATCCTTGTTAGCTTTGCTTTTAGTTGTGGAGGTCAAGGGCCCTCTGCTCTCCTGCCTTTGGGAATCCAATCAGAAACCCATCAGTTTATGTACACACGGACAGAGACATACTTCCACAGTGAGCACAACATTTTTGTCACTAAGCAGAAACACTTGGCATTGTCTTCTGAGCATCGGCAGATGCTTTCCAAATGCTTATGTTTTCCCTAAGAGCCGGGGTCGCCGCCAGCCTTGCCCCATATGACTAAAAATGCCAGCAAAGTTAGAGCTCCCCCAAACCAAAGGGGTACCTCCAAGGATGGTCACCTTCAAGTCTAGGTTTCCTGGTTCACCCTCAACCACATCCAGACCAAGGCTACATCTTTAAAAGTGTACTTTTGTTATTAAAAATAAAAATAAATTCACACCCGTGTCTCTTATTTTTAAAAAAGAACAGAAAATAGCAAGGGTTGGTGAGGATATGGAGAAATTGCACTGCTGGTGGGGATGTAGAGCGAAGCAGCCACTGTGGAAAACAGTATGGCAGTTCCTCAAAAAATTAAACTTTGACATACCACATGCCCCAGCAGTTCCACTTCTGGGCACCTGCCCAGGGGAATTCGAAGCAAAGGCTGACACAGACACGTGCCCGCTCACATTCACAGCAGCAGCAGCCACCACGGCCAGGGGTGGGAGCACGCACGTGCCCGTCCACGGGTGGTGGGTAGCACAGTGGCCCACCGCACACTCGAATATTCTTCACCCTTCAGAAGGAAGGGCATTCTGGCACCCGCCACAACATGGATGCACCTTGAGGGCATCATACTCAGTGAAATAAGCCAGGCACAGAAGGACAAATACTGTGCGATTCCACTTATATGAGGTTCCTAGAGGAGTCAAGTTCACAGGGACAGGAAACAGATCGTGGGAGCCAGGGGCTGGGGGAGGGGGGGGAGTCAGTCTGTAATGGGGACAGAGTTCCAGTTTGGGAAGATGAGGAAGTTCTGGCAATGGATGGTGGGGACCGTCACTCAACAGGAGTGTACTTAATGCTACTGAGCTGTACACTTAAAATTGGCTAAAATTGTATATTCATGCTGTAAATAGTTTACCACAATAAAAATAAAACACATAAAAATAAAAATAAATCAATGGGGTATCCTGAGGGAGGCAGACCAGTCTCCCAATAGTAACAAAAATCTCACACCCAGATCTTAGCCTCAACGCTGGCTTTTCCCCATGCAATGAGCACACCCCACCAGAAGCAGAGCTCTTCCATGTTCCCATTTCCCGTTTCTTTGTTTTTGCCTCCTCAGCTGGGCTTGGAGCGGTTCCACGGAGTCGGCATCCTGGGGTTCAACTCCATGGAGTGGTTCATTTCTTCTCTTGGTGCCATCCTAGCAGGGTAAGAGCACGCGCTGTTCTCTGTCAGCGCTGGTGAGCCGAGACCCGGCCCGGCCGCCCTGGGCAGCTCTGAGATGCGAGCGGGCAGCTGGGCCGCAGCCTCGGTGGGCAGGCGAGGCAGGCGCACAGGCCAATGAACCTGACAGGGTCGGTATCTCGAGTATAAAAGGACTAGTGTCTCGGGATGTGGACGGTACTTCTAGAACTCAGTCATAAAAAGACAAAAAGATTTTAAATGGGCAAAAGGCTTGGACCAGAAATGTCACAAAGCAAAGCAGGCGATAAGCAGTTGAGAGATGCTCCATGTCATCGGCCATCAGGGAAATGCAAATGAGAACCAGGGATGGTTAAAAGCAAGAACAAAAGGCTGCGGATGGAGGGAACAAGTGCCTGAGGGGGTCCATTTATTATTTGCCATGATACTCTGAATAGTGACTTCACTGCCCTGACTCTCAGTTTCCTCATCTGTAAAATGGGGCGTTGTGGGGCTTCCATGATCTGATGTCACGACATCACAGGAGTTTCTGCTTTCATCATCATTATCACTTCAGTAGTTTTTGTCATTGTCACGTTGTGGAGGGAGGGAAGCTTGTGCCAAGGCTGCAAACTCATAATTTGCCTACAGGCTCCTCCCCTCGCCCCCCACCATCCAGGACACCTGCCCCTCACCCGCCCACCCACCACACACGCGCACATGACAGGCACATGTGTTTTCTTTTCCCAGGGGCCTCTGTGTTGGTATTTATGCCACCAACTCTGCGGAGGCTTGTCAGTACGCCATTACTCATGCTAAAGTGAACGTCCTGCTGGTTGAAAATGACCAACAGCTCCAGAAAATCCTTTCGGTAAACCCCTACCCAGCACTGCTTGCCAGTCACCCAGGGGGACCTGAGGGCTCTGACCAGGGGTCTTTGTGCTCCCAGGTAGATGCCAATGATCAGGTGGGGTGGCGGGGCTCGGCTCAGGCACAGGTTCAGTAAGAGTCCCCCCCCACTTTAGCATAACTGGCAAAGCTGCTTTTAGGGGGAGGAGGGTGGATTGGGGGAGTTTAATTTCCAATTCATATTAACTTCATTTCCTATTTGGCCTCCATTTAAAAAATGTGCTTATGCATAATTCTATATACAGCCCACTGCTATTTTTCTTTTAGAAGCGTGATTGTTTTGAGCCTTGCAGTTCTCTCCGTTTCTTGTAACTCTGTATTTCTGGGTGCTTTTGTCTTCCTCTTCTATTTCCTTCCCGAGGTCTACCGCCTCCTGTTTCGCTTCTCTGGTGTCTGGCTCTGTCTTCCTCGTATGTTTGCTCTGTGTTCTTCCTTCCCAGCTGCGTTTACTTCATTACATTTTAAATTTTATACTGGAATGTTGGGTGGTAATTTTCCTTTGTTTTGCGGTGATTTCGTGAAATTTGGCTCCTTTCTTATTTTCTCTTTTCCCCTTGCAGTATCTTTGTATGAATACTGTAGAAACTTTTCCAATTCCTTGTGTTTGAATGAGCTGCAGTTTCCTGAACCAGCTTTTGGCAGGAAGATCCTAAGGGGAGGGGAGTTTGGGGAACGGGTGAGCCTAGGTAACCAGATTCATTGCTCAGCCTGGGGGCCACTGTGACTGTTTTTTAATATTTCATCACTTCTGACTTGCACATTTCTCACTTTTTAACATCTCTGGAGCCGAGATGTGCCTTGTCATTGACGTGATCCTCTCGGATCATCATTGGCCACGTGTTTCCCCACATTTTAAAATCTCTGAAATCAGGGCACATTTTCCCGACTCAATGAAATCCTAGCTGGACTCAGTGAAATAGGACACGTGCCACCTAATTCCTGACCCGGTTCAGGAAGGGCAGACGTCTACCTCCAGCCTTGAGCTTTTTTGAAACTGCTCTCTTGCATGGTGCTTCTGTGGTCCCTGGCACTCATGTCATGCCCTGCTTGCTCACAGCAGAACACACTGGTGTGGGGGGTGACAGGTGATGGGCGATGAGTGGGGTGCTCCTCATGCTTGCCAGGAACACTGGCTTACGATTTGGGTTTTCCCACTGTTAGAAAATGCCACGCCCCCACTTTCCCCCTGCACCAACTTCACCGCTGTGGCTTCCTGCCCTGCTTCTGGTATATTTGACCCCACACGCATAAAGCAATGCCTGAATTATTTCTATCTCGTAGTTTGACTGAAAGTACTGCTTGTGTGGGTCTGTGCTTCTGGTTGCTCTGTATGGAAGGTTGGAAGCCGGGCTCCTGACACGTTCCTCCCAAACTGCATGTTCAGCTCCACCGGCTGATCTAATTCTGGGCAATACTCAGCTTATAACCCTTTGGCTCTTCAGTGCTCCCCTGCCTCCTTTAGAATAAACCCCAAACTCCTTGCCACTGCCTCCAAGGCGGCCTACCAGGCCCTCACCACCCTCTCCTGCCTCCGCCTCGGTTCCTCTCCCCTCCGTCCCAGTGCAGCCCTCCCGAGCTCTCCTCTTCCTCAAACATCCCAGGCCACTGCCTGCTCCCCGCGTTCTGGATGTCTGTCCCCTCTCTCTGGAAAACTCCTGTCCAGCTATTATAAACACTTCTGTCCTCTTTCTCTCCCATCCACACCAGCACCCTGGCTATAATCATAATGAGCATAATGAATGCTGGAAGCGACTTTCTCATTGGATTGGCCGGTAACGAGGCCCACTCCTTGCTTTGCATGAACAGGGTCCAAGCATCCCAGGGGCCTGGTCGCCTGAACCTTACAGTTCTAGATATGACTAGAGAGTTCTGAACCTGCCCAGGTCCCAGCCCCCTTCACGGAGGGTTTTTGTGGCCTGATTCCAACAAGAACGTTTATGAATCCTGGCTGCTGCGGCACCGGGCCTGAGGCGAGCTCTCAGGGAGGCTGCTGTCTTCATCTGCCTCTGATCGTTGGGGGCTACTGATACCCACCGCAAAGAGCCCTGCAGTCCCAAAATCAGTCAAGAGAAGGAGCGATGTTTCACAGAAAAGGGGGGATAAAAAGAGGCTGGGGTTGCAGTAAGAGAGAGCTTAGGACACCCATCCAGCTTCTGTTTTTCCCGGGGCTGGGTTGCCATGAGGCCCACGCTGCACTTTCTTTCAGATTCCACAGAACAAGATGGAGACTGTAAAAGCGATTATCCAGTACAAGCGGCCAATGAAAGAGAGCAATAAGAAAAACCTGTATTCTGTACGTGTGGGCGGGGCACAGAGCAAAGGGGAGGGGGGGCTCACGAGGGAAGTGGGGAGTGAGCAAGAGAGGGGGTCACACTCCATAAGGGGCGTGGGTGGGCCTTTGAGAGGCTTTTTAATTTTAATTTTTGGCATGCAGGATATAGCTTAAGCAAAAATGTAATTTGTTGACTCATGTAACTACAATTCAGGGTGTGGATTTCAGGCATGGCTAGAACCAGGCGCTGGAACTTGTCCCAAGCTCCATGTTGCCCTCTTGGTTTCCTGACTCCACTCTAGCCTTGTGAAATGTCCCCCATAATCCTGAGACAGTCCAGCAGCTCCTGGGGCTACTATTTTTTTTTTTTTCTTAGAGAGAGAGAGAGGAAGGGAGAGGAATAGAGAAATGGAAACATCCATGAGAGAGAAACATCCATAGGCTGCCTCCTGCACGTCCCCCACTGGAGATCGAGTCGGCAACTGGGCATGTGCCCTGACCCATGACCGAGAATCTAACCGGTGACCCCAATTCATGGGTCGACGCTCAATCACTGAGCCACACTGCCAGGCTGGGGCTACATTTTGACTCATTCTTGTCCAGATAGCACTTCCAGCAAAAGCCATGACTTTCACTGTGATTGGGCCATTTGGGTCACATGCCCAGACCAGATCCAATCACTGGCCCACATAGATGGAACCCTCTGCCTTACACCGATCAGCGTTGGCCTCTGGAATTGGGGGTGGAGTCGGCCCTATCAATCTGGTCACAGAGAAATTTGGGGTGCAGAGTGGAATCTGGGAAGGCAGAGATCAAATAATATCGAACTCCACTGTCAAGCATTTTACATATATTAATTCATTTACTGCTAAGAACAACCCAAGAAGTTGGGTTCAGACATCATTCCTATTTTTGCAAATGTGGAAACTGAGGAACAGGGAGCTTAAGTGGCCTGCCGGAGAGTGCAGGGACCAGAAGCAAACAACTGTGCATTGTAGGACAGTTGAGAGCATCCCTGGTCTCCACCTACTAGATGCCAGTAGCACCCTCCAGTTGAAACAACAGCTTTTGTAAGAGGAACCAGGACTAGCAATCATAACTAAACCTTTCCTCCTGCTAAAAATTATGCTTTAGGAGAAGTTGATGGGACAGGATCTGACTGGAGAAAGGGGATGCCTGACGTTTAGGGTCACTTCTCACACTCCCTGAGTCCCCACCCTCCGCTTGTTTTCTTTCCACAGTGGGACGACTTCATGGATCTTGGCAATAGCGTTCCCGATTCCCAGCTGGACCAGATCATAGCGAGCCAGAAGGCCAACCAGTGTGCTGTGCTCATCTACACGTCCGGGACCACGGGCAACCCCAAAGGAGTGATGCTCAGCCACGACAACGTAAGTGCTGTCTCTCCCAACAGTCACCAGCTTGGTAGCATCCCGAATCACTTCACTCAGGGGCAGTGGCCTTCAGGGGCCACTTGTTCTTGACCCACAGGGGCAGGGCTGCATTAGTCTGTAGAGTCATGTGGACACTAGTGAGGGGACAGCAGAGTGCAAGGGCTGAAATCAAGGACTTTGGAGCAGACCTGGATCCAAACCTGACTCTGTGATCTTGGGCAAGACATGCCACATCTCCAAGCCTCAGTTTCCTCACCTGTAAAATGGATGTGATATAATAGCCCCTGACTCGTGGGTTGTTCTGAAGATGATATGAGTTAATATTTGCAAAGAGCATAAAATCATGTTTGATAAGTACATGAAAGAGCAGCGAATATGTCCTGTGTTTCAGAGTAAAGCAGAAGTTGAGGGGTGCCTTGTTTGTTTGTTTTTCTTAGAGAGAGAGGCAGGGAGAGGGACAGGGGAGGAACCCAAATGGGTGACCTTTGGGTGCAGGGGATCATGCTCAACCACCTGAGCTACACAGGCCAGGGCAGAAGTTGAGGTTTTGATTACTCAAGGAAGGCTGCGTGTTTTGGGGAACACTTATGTATGTCTGGATGGAGTCAAAGACTGATGGTAGTTTAGATGACTGGGATGACACACAAGGTAATACACACTAAAAGATTCCACTTATAGAAAACCCTAGAAAATGCAGACTTATCCATAGGGACTGAAAGCAGGTCTGTGGTTGCCGAGGGAGGGGCCGGAGGGAGGCATCACAAAGGGACACGTGGAAATTTTGGGGAGTGATGAAAATGTTCATATCTTGATGATGGTGATGGATTCACAGAGGTAGACATGTGTCAGTTTGTGTCAAATTGTACAATTTAAGTGTGTGCAGTTCATTGCATGTCAATTATACCTCAATAAAGCCGTTTTTTAAAAAAAAGAATGATTCAGGGACAGTTCACTTATGTTGCATGATCACTGCATGCTAGGCACTGTTCCAAGAGTTTTAGTAAATCTTCACAGCAATTCTACTGATTCTATCAGGCAGATGCTGTTTTACAGATGAGAAACTGAAGCACAGAGAGGTTAAATTCTTGGCCCAGGTCACACAGCAGGCAACATGGTGGAAGCCAGGATTTGAACCCAGGCAGGCTGGCTCCACAGTCCACATTTTTAACTACGCTGTAGATCTGTGTGGCTAACATTCGAAGATGTCCAAAGATGCAATGTAAACATTTAAAAGTTAGTTGCAGAAGAGTACACAGAACACAATGCAATTTTTGTTAAAGAGTAAAAAAGCCAGCAAGCAATATGCACCTGTGTAAGTTTTAAAAGCAGAAAAATGTCTGGCAGGACATCCACTCAAACGGCCATGGTGGTTCCCCTCATGAGTCAGAAAGATTGCTAGTTTTTAAATGAAGATTTTTCTACCTTGTAAGAGCTTTTCCCTCGACCTAGCTTAATAGTTACCAGCACACACTGGTCTTTGCACTGGCCATTCCCTCTACATATCAGAGAGCTAATGGCTTGCTCCTTTACCCCCTTCCTGTCCTGCTCAAACACTACCTCTTCTGGGAAGCCCTCCATGATTTCCGTGTTTAAAATAGCAAACAATAAACCATCCCATTGATCCCTCATCCTCCTCTGGCTGCTGTTTTTCTTACACTGTCATGTTATGTAGCCATTTGTTTATCCTGAACTTCAGCTCCTTGAGGGCAGAGGTTGTCTTGTTCACTGCTGTGTGTCCAGTGCCTGGCACATAGGAGGACTCAATCCACTTTTGTGGAATGAATGAATGAATAAAAGGCATCTGGTTAAACTCCCACCTGATTCCTTGTGGCTTTATATATGGTGGGATATTTTCCTGGCATTGGGTGACAAATATAAACCCTGGAGCAAGGCTTCCTGGGTTTAAATCCTGGCTCTCCCACTTGATAGCTGTATGACCTGGGACAAGTTCCTTAACTCCTCTGGACCTCAGTGTCCCCATCTGTAAAACACAGATGAGAATGGTTTCTACTCTTAGAATTGTCATGAAGGTTAAATTATTTCATACACTCTGTCAGTTAGCTACTGCTTTGTAACAAGCCATTCTAGAACTTAGCGACTTAAAACACCAAAAGTGGGTTATATTTGGGTATGGAATTTGGGCGGGGCCCAGCAGGGTGTTTCTTCTGTCCCATGCAATGTCAGCTGGGGTCGCTCAGCTGTATTCAGCTGATGTCTGGGCCGGGTAGAAAAGTCCAAGAAGGACTTCACTCACATGTCTCTTGTGGCTTGGGCATCCTCACAGCAGTGGCTCAAGGTTGTTGAACTGCTTAACATGAGCAAATATTCCCTTAGACCAAGGCAGAAGCTGCCGTCTATGAAGGCTCAACAGCAGAAGTTACAGTGTCATTCTGCTGGTCAACCCGTCACTGAACCAGTCCTGTGAAAGGAGAGAAAAACAGACTCCAGCTTTGAAAGGGAGGGTGGCAGAGAATTTGCCGCTGTCTTTAATCTACCCGCATAAATAAAATGCTTAGAACAATGCCTGGCACATAGTGAGCCATATCAGTATTAGCTCACCATCCTCGCCCGGCCTCTATGGGTCAGTTGATTGAGCGTCATCCATGCACCAAGACGTCACTGGCTCGGTTCCTGGTTGGGGCACATGCCTGGGTTGCAGGCTCGATCCCCACCCAATAGGGGGCATGCAGGAGGCAGCCGATTGATGTTTCTCTCTCTCCCTCTTCCTTCCTCTCTTTTTCTCTCTCTAAAAAAAAAAATTAAAAATGAATATTACTCAGCCATAAAAAAGATGAAATCTTGCCATTTGTGACAACACAGATGGACTTAGAGGGTATATTATGCTTAGTGAAATAAGTCAGAAAGAGAAAGACAAATACCATATGATTTCCCTTTTATGTGGAATCTAAAGAACAAAATAGGTGAACAAACAAAATAGAAACAGACCCATAGATACAGAAAACAAGCTGATAGTTGCCAAAGGAGAGGGTGTAGGAATGGGAATAAAGGAAAAAAATTCAATTAAATTAAACCATTCAGGCTATGGTGAATGATACCTGGAGAATTAGACGATGGAAACTTCAGTTTGGGTGATGTGAGATAGCCTCTCTGTGTCGACAACATTTAAGCAAAAACTAAGCATGTGAGAAGGAGTCAGTCATGGGGAAAGCTGGAGAAACAGCAGTCCAGGCAGAGGGAACAGCCAGTGCAAAGGCCCTGAGGCTGGACCCTGCCCGATGTGTTGGAGGAACAGTGTAGAGGCCCAGGTGGCAGGATTAATGAAGTAACTGCTCAGCAGAGGTTTATGACACCAGTAAGAAATATGTATTGCAAAATTATTGATACACCAAAAGTTTACATCAAGGAAAAAAACTAAAGAGAGTTGATGTTTCAACTCTCTCTCTGTCTCTCTCCCTGCCTCTCTGTGAAATCAATAAGGATATATTTTTAAAAAAAAGAAAAAAAAGAATTGCATTTAAGTGTCCCTCCAGCCAGTACAAGGCACCCTGGATTGCAAGTCCCACTTGTGTTCCAGATGACATGGTTGTCCGGGATGGTGGCGAAGGACTGCGGCCTGACTAGCGCCCCAGAAAAGCAGGAGACGGTGGTTAGCTATCTTCCCCTCAGCCACATTGCAGCTCAGATGATGGACATCTGGGTACCCATAAAGATCGGGGCTTTCGTCCACTTTGCTCAACCGGATGCTCTCAAGGTGAGGCGGGGGCAGCCTGGGGCGAGTGGGGGGTTTCATTAAGCCCCAGTTCTAGGGGTTCCTTCTCTGTCCTCAGCTTATGCTTCATTTAGCAGCATCAGAAACAGTGGACCCCATTCTTGCCATTTTTATCTTTACCCAAGTCCGGGCATCCGTATATAGTTGTACAGATTATACACTGAACCACTCAAGACTAAGATGTGAATGGTACTGAATGCAAAATGTGTGTGTAGTTTTGTTTTTTTAAGTCAGTATTCCCAACTCCCAAAAGCTCCAAAACCCAAACCCATCTCAAGACCCTTAACCACATCTGCAAAGTCTCTTTTGCCGTGAAAGATAACATATTCACAGGTTCAGGGGGTTAGGGCATGAATATCTTTGGGGGTACCGTGATTCTGCCTTCCACTCTCTATTGAACAGGCTGTCTCAGGGCCTTTGTAATTCCTTCTAGAAGGTCCATTCTTCTGTTGTTTGCATGGCTGATGACTGTCATTTAGTTCTCTGCTTACATTTCCCCTTGGCCCCTCTCACATCCCCCAAGCTCAGTGTCTGAGAGGTAGTGGCCATTCGACACAATAAATATGTTAGTTTTTTGGCTGAATACATAACGCATATACATACACTCACCTACAGGACCCGAGAAGTTCCCATTCTCCCACATCCTTAATCAACCCTGTAATATCGTCAAAAACTTTAAAATAATCAACCTGATGGGTGACAAAGGTGGCCTTCACAGTTTAAGGAACTGCCAGGCTTTTCCAAAGAGGCTGCACCATTTTATAGTCCCACCAGAAAAGGATGAGAGGGTTCTGGTTTCTCCTCCTCACTAACGCGCGACACCACCACCATCATCATCGTTGCCATCTGGTGGCTGTGAATAGGTATCTCGTCGCTTTAATTGGCATTTCCCCAGTGACTCACGGTGCTGAACAAGTTCTCATGTGCTTATTGGCCACCTGTGTATCTTCTCTGGAAAAAGGGCTGTTCAAATCTTTTGCCCATTTAAAAATGTGGTTGCAGGCCCTGGCCAGTGTGGCTTAATCGGTTGGGCGTCGTTCCATGTACTGGGCACATGCCCAGGGCACATGCCCAGGTTGCAGGCTCAACCCCCAGCAAGGAGGGTGCAGGAGGCAGCTGATGGATATTCTGCTCTAACATAGATGTTTCTCTCTCTCCCTCTCTCTTCCTCTCTCTCTAAAAATCAATAAAAACTTTTTAAAAATGTGGTTGCCTATTTTCTCATGGTTGAGTTTAAGGGTTCTTTATACCTTCTGGATATAAATTCTTTCTTAAATGTATTGTTCACAAATACCTCCTCCCAAATCTGTGACTTGTCTTTTTGTTTTGACCCTGCAGTCCAATTTATTTTATTTTTACTTTTACGCTTTTGGTGTCATATATAAGAAATCTTTGCCTATGCCAAGATCAGAGATATTCTTCTATGTGTTCTTCTAGAAGCCTTTTAGTTTTAGTTATTACATATAGGTCGGTGACCCATTTTCAGTTTATTTTTCTGTTTGGTGAGAAGTAAGTCTCTAAGTAAAGCTCTTATTTTAATTTTTGGGGGGATATGAATATCCTTTACACCATTCAATTGCCTTGGCACTTTGATTGAATGTCAATTGATCGCAAACGTAAGGATCCACCTCTGGGTTCTTTATGCTATTCCATTGATCTATATGTCTATTTTCTTACATCAAAACCACACTGACTTGGGTTTTTCTGGCTTTATGGTAGGGTGACTACCTTGTCACTGTTTGCCTGGAATTTTCCCAGTTTTATAACTGAAAATTCCACATTCCAGGAACTCCTTTAGTTCTGGGCAAACCAGGATGGTTGGTCACCCTATTTTATACTAAATTTCAAAATCAGGTAGTAATTCTTCCATTTATGTTCTTTTCCAAAATTGCTTTGGCCATTCAGGTCCTCCACATTTCCATATCAATTTTAGGTCAGCTTGTCAATTTGTATGAACAAGCCTGTCTGGATTTTTATAGGGATTGCATTGAACCTATAGACCTGTTTGGGGGAGAATTTTGCATCCTTTTAAACAGTTGTATAATATTCCACAGCATACTTGGACAACAGATTTTTCCCCAGCCTGCCACTCTCCACCACAGAGAGGGAAAATCTGATTGGCTGCCGACCAATCAGTGGGTTGGCTTGCTTGAATCAAGAGCTCAGCCAAAAGAAGGTTCTCCTGGGCTGAGTGGCTGGGCAGAGATGGACATCTGGGGTCCATGGAAGGTTTGGGTGTGGCTAACCCAGCTCTGTCCCGCGCAGGGCACCTTGGTCAGCACTCTACAGGAAGTAAAGCCTACCGCCTTCCTAGGGGTGCCCCGAATTTGGGAGAAGATACAGGAGAAGATAAAGGAAAGTAGTGCCAAATCCTCAAGCTTGAAGAAGAAGGTGTTTTCGTGGGCAAGAGCTGTTGGCTTAAAGGTCAATACAAAAAGGATGGTAGGGTAGGTGCAGGGTCCACTGGGTCGGGTGGGGAGGGTGGTGGGTGAGGGGCTCAGCTAATTTTGGATCCATGGCCATAGAACTCTCCTTGGCATTGCGCACAGGTCAAATGACTCTTCCATGAGCTACCGCATAGCAAGGACACTCGTTTTCAACAGAGTCAAGAGCACCCTTGGCTTTGATCACTGCCACATTTTTATCAGTGGGGCCGCGCCCCTCAGCCCAGACACCTCTGAGTTCTTTCTAAGCCTGGACATACCTATTGGCGAGATATATGGGATGAGCGAAAGCACAGGACCTCACACCGCATCCAACTGGGATAACTACAGGATTCTAAGGTACTGGTCTCCTGGAGAGACCCCCGGGCCTCCAGCAATACGGGGTCAGGGGAAGGAAGATGGGAGGATGGATGGGCCTCAGGGCTGAGATGAATTCTGATTTGGTATCTCCAGAATGATCCCTGTTCTCCAGCTCCCAAGCCCCAAATCTTCATGACCGTGGGAAGCCCCGGTTTGTCAGAGACTTTCCATTGTCTCCCAGATTGCCACTGGTGAGTTCTGCCTCCAGAGACCACCCCACTCTCACCCACCCCAGGTCACTTGCTGGGACCTCAGGCCCCTTCATCTCCACAACGCTCCATCTCAAACATGTCCACGGCCCTCTCTGGCTTTCTCCCAAGCACAGCTCACCCCAGGCTACAGGACTGAACCCAGAAATACCGAAACAGTAAGAATACCAAAGGCAAGGTCCACTCCGAGTCTGAGAGCCACGCTCCTTCACAGAGCCTGCCGGTGGTCTTTCTTCCTTCCCTGCTGCCATGTTGCAAGTCCAGCTGGTCTCTCATGCTTGGCCAGGTGCCAGCTGCCTTGGAATTTGGCAAAAACAAAGTTCAATCTTCCTAATCTAGCAAAATCATCTCTTGCCTTTTACTTTACTTTGCAGGGGAGATTTGCACCTCAGTATCTCTCCCTCTCCACCCCATAATCCTCTCTGAGGTCTGCTTCCTGCAGAACCCAAATGCCCACTGGAGTTTCCCCAAAACCAAAAGGGTGGTCCTTCCCTAAAGAGAAGTGACACTGTTCCAACCCTGGAGGAAAGGTACAGACTCCAGCCTCTGTCTTTAACTAGTTTTTTTCAACGAGGAGTATATGCACACACAAATCAGAAGGTATGAAATGACAGTGAAAAGCTCCCGCTCCCTCTCCGTGTGTGTGTGTGTGTGCGCGCGCGCGCAAATTTCCCCTTTTTTTATAAAGACACCAGTCGTACTGGATTTGGAACCATGCTACTCCAGTATGACTTAATCTTAATTTAGCCAAATACATCTGCAAAGATCCTATTTCCAAGTAAGCTCACATTCTGAGGTACTGGGAGTTATGATGCAAAGTAAGAACGGGGGCGGGGGGGCATTTCAACCCCTAACACCCTCCCAGAGGCGAAATGACCACACACATAGCATTCTTTTAAATTAACCTGGCATAAGAGTGCGTTGACATACATATTTTTATCCCAAACGGAAGCATTTCCCGTGTGAAAATGGACACAAAACTCATCCTTTCTGCTATGAGTTCAGGAACCAAAAACAGTCAACACGGCATTCCCTCACTATCTGGATTCGTAATTCAAACCTCCACTCAGTCTTGACTCACACCATCCTGGCTCAGGAACCAAACAGATTTGGTTAGTAAGGGATTCTTCTGGAGAATGTTCCCTATCAGTGCAAACAGCTGCCTCGTTTTTAACAGCTGTTTAGTATTCCACCGGGTGGATATACCATTATTTATTTAACTAGTCCCTTTTCTGGTGAATACTAAGGGCTTTTTTTCCTCCATTATTTGTCACCGTAAACAATGCTAAAGTGAATGTTTAGAATATATACCACATATTTCGCTAAACCAATTGGAGGAAAATGGTATTTCATCATAACTTTCATTTACATTCCTTTTATTGTGAATGAAGTTGGAAAAAATCCTCTCAAACATTTAAAAGCCATTTGTATTTCCTTTCCTCTGAACTATCTGTCCATACCATCTGCCCCTTTTAAAAACTAGATTACCAGTTCCTTTATTGTTCGTTTGTTGGCACTCTATATATATTAGGAAAATCAGCCCTTTGTTTTTTATATGACTTTAAAGTATTTTACCCCTAGGTTTATTATTGGTATTTACTTTTAGTTAGGTGTTTTCTGCTGTGCAATTTTATCTTTACGTGGTTGAATTTATCAATCTTTTCTTTATGGCGTCTGTTTTTCCATATTCCTAGAAAGGCCTTCATTGGGGAAGTCAGAAGGCTTTTAGTACATTTTGAGCTTCTTTGGTGTACCCTCTTTTTTACTCTTGCTAACTAAGAGAATCCCTACAATTAGCCCTAAAACCACTGGCCTTTCTACCAGTGAAGGCAATCTCAGCAAAGCCGCATTGCTTTCTTTTCTGCATTCTAAAATCACCCTCCCAAATATTATCTCTGGGAAAGAAGTCTTATAAGAACCCAGATTTCAAATAGTGCTGTTTTGTCTTATGGATGTAACTTTAACCTCTGAAGAGGTTACAGTTGCTTGTCCCTGTCGTTGCATGCAGGTCTACATATCTGTTTTCTAAAAGATGAGGGCTTTTGTTGCTATTCTTAAGCCAAGAGCTCTTTGTCCTCCCGTTTATGTGGAGATTAAAATGTACAACTCTGCTGTGTGTCCCAGCTCATCAAGTGCTTGGGAATTTGACTCACTGGATTGAGCACTCCCCCCCCTCTCTCATTTGGCAAACACCTCCTTATGCCCCACAGGTCCTGGAGAGGGTGAAAGAAGCAGATCCAGCCGGGTCAGCTGAGCAGGATGTTAGGAGCCTGGGCTACAGACCCAGGCTGACCTTTGTGGGTGACCCTGTCTCTCTGAGCCTCAGTTTTCCCCCTCCCATTCCCCGGCAGCTCCGGCAAAATCATAAGTGGGTGTAAAAACATGCTGTTCCAGCCGAACAATGATGGCATTGGGGAGGTCTGCATGTGGGGCCGGCACGTCTTCATGGGCTACCTGGAAAGGCAGGAAGAGACCATGGAGGCCATCGATGAGGAAGGCTGGCTACACAGCGGGGACCTGGGCCGCATGGACAACCAGGGTTTCCTCTACATCACTGGCCGCATCAAAGGTACTGGAGCTGAGCTCTGCAGGGGTCTCTGCAAGCAGGCCCACCCTGAGCGTTTAAGGGGCTGGCATACACAAGGCCCTCAGCTCCCGGCCTCCCACAGCGGGGCCTTGCCTGGATATACAGGGTCGCCCTGTTCCACACGTCCCAGCTCTGTCCTTGGGCACAGCATTTGGCCCTCGGCAGGATGAACCTGGGAAAGACACCCACCCCAACCCTGAAACTTGTTTCCTCCCCTGTACTTATTTGAGAATAATAATCACTTACAGAGTTATAATGATTAAGTGAGGATTAAATGAAAGAATGCAGAACAGGGATTGGCCAACTTTTCCTGTAAAAGGCCTGATCTTAAATATTTTGGGATCTGCAGGACATATGTTCTCTGTCGCAGCCACACAACTTGGCAGAAGTGTAGCGAAGCAGCAGCCACAGACAATACGTAGACAAATGGATGTGACTGTGTGCCAATGTGAATGTCATAGAATTTTCATGTGTCACAATATTATTATTCTTTGGATTTCCTTCTAATCATTTAAAAATGTAAAAACCATTTTTGGCTCATGGCCACACAAAAGCAGGCAGAAGGCTGAATTTGGCTTGCAGGCCAGAGCTTACCAACCTCTGATGTAGGCAGAGCATTTAGCACTGAGCCTGAGGTAGGGAGTAACTATTCAATAAGTGAGCTATATTAGCATTATTTCCATGATGAGCAACAGAAAGCCCTTCTTAAACAGGTCCGAATAAAAAAGGGAAACGTTTTAAAAACTGAAAAGGCCAAAAGATTTTGCTTCAGGCATGGCTGGATCCAGGTGCCAAAACAATTTGACAAGGGAGCTCTTTCTCCTTCTCTTACTGAGCTATCTTCTGTGTTGGGGCTATTCTTGAAGAGGCTTTTCCCCATTTGGTGATAGGATGACTGCCAACAGTCTAGGCTTATCCTAATCCCAAAGGGATAAGACTACGTTATTCCCAATAGTTTCAGCAAAAGTTTTAATACTGACTCTCACTGGATCCCATCTCAGAATGAATCACTGTAGAGGATGGAGTATGCTGATTGGTCAGACCTGGTCACATGCTCGCCCTGTAGTTCACCTGCCCAAAACACATAAAGATGGAGAGTAGTTCCCTAAGGAAACATCAGGGTGCATTTATCCAAAGAAAAAGTCACTGGGCTGACAACACCACAGATGTCCGTTACCTGATCGCACTATTACTACTGCTATAACCACCTCAGTAAAGGTGACTGTGAGACCCGGAGATGTGATGGAGAGAGAGTTCGGGTGGGTGGACCAGAAAGCGGTCAGGATCCCAGGATGAAAGAACAAAATGTGCTGGGGCAGGAGGAGGAGCTCTTGGAGAATTTTAGAGGCTCCAGGGAGAAAGTGACACAATTTCTTTAGAACATGCCAAAATTAGGGATGCGACACAAAACCTCTGGGTAAGGCTGGACTTAGGTTCTTTTGGGGTTGCCAAGTGATGGAAAAATCAGGGGACAGAGAGACAGGGTGTGGCCAGAAGCATTCACCATCTTCTAAGCAAGACTTAGAGGGCCTGGACCAGGTTATGGGAGACTGGGAAAGAGGCAATGAATTAATAACACACTGTCCTTATGGAATGTACAGGATTTGGACATGTCAGGGGAATTTGAAGGAAAAAAGGGGAGGAGGGGCACAGTGACTTTGGGTTTGTGGCTTGGAGAAGGGCATTGTGGGAGTCCTGGCCAGGAGCAGGGTTTCTCTTCTACTTCTGAGGTTTTCTAGGTGAGTGGTTGTCTGTGCCAATATCTGTTCCCTCACATCCTCAAGAGGGTGGGGGTTTCCCATTGTCATGGCTGAACTGACACGGAGGCGTGTGTTGTTCCAGAAATCCTCATCACAGCTGGTGGCGAGAACGTGCCCCCTGTTCCCATCGAGAACAGGGTTAAAGAAAAGATTCCCATCGTCAGTAATGCCATGTTAGTGGGAGATAAGGCAAAGTTTCTAAGCGTCCTGCTGACGCTGAAGGTAACCTGGGTGTCCTGCGGGGTCTCCACCCCAGACTCCAGAGGGTATACCCTATGGGTTCTGGACCTTCTTCTTGGTCCTGAGGGCTGGCTGGGGAGTGTGTGGGGGTGTTGGGTGTGGTGACAGGGGTGTCCTGGGACAGTGTGAGGTAGATATGACGAGCGGAGAGCCACTGGACAAACTGAGCTTGGAGGCTACCAAGTTCTGCCGGAATCTGGGCAGCCATGCATCCACCGTGACTGAGATCGTGGAGCTACGAGACCCCCTGGTCTACACTGCCATCCAGAAAGGCATTGACGCTGTGAACAAGGAAGCCCCCTCCAATGCGCAGAAGATTCAGAAGTGGGTCATCCTGGAGAAAGACTTTTCCATCTACGGTGGAGAGCTGGGTGAGTGGCCTGGATAGCTGGTGGCCTTGGCTCTTGGAGGCTGGTCCCTTGCTAGTGTCCAGGGCCATGTGGGCTCCAAGACATGCCCTATTCTGGGGGTCAAAGGGTCTGTGGGACCAGCTGGGGACAGAGAGAGGGACACTGCCATTTCCGTCTGACTGGTGCCCAGTTCCTCCGGACCCCACACACACAGTCCCTTCTCCCCAGGGCAGCCACATCCCTCACTCTGGGAATAAAAGCCAAACCCCTTACCATGGCTCCATGTGAGCTCTCACCTTCTGACCTTTCCTTGTCTCCTACTCCACCCCAGTGATAGCAAAGGTGGTGCACCCAGGAAGTGGGCCACCAACTAGACCCAGCCACGCAACCCTGCTGTCTGATCATGCGCAGGGCATGTGGACTTTATCTCAACAACTGAACTGGTTTCTCCTTTTACAATAGGTCCAACAACAAAGTTTAAGAGACATTTCATAATCCAGAAATACAAAAAGCAAATCGAAAACTTATACCACTGACTTGATTGGCAGAGCTGCTCTTGGCTGTCCCAATGGTGAGACTGGATTTCCTGGGCTGTGCCTCAAATGAGTCCAACAGAAGCACTCTCCTGTGTGGCAGGCAGGGTCTGTGAGTGAGCAGAACTACAGAGGCCACATGGGCAGTGCCCATGGGTATTCAGTTGCTGAGGGTTCTTGGTAGTGTCTGGCTTTAACTCACGCTCTACCAGGGTCCTGGCAGAGCACGCAGGCTCCTTCAGGGCTGGCCACCAACGTCATTACTTGATCTTCTGGCCTTTCCCACTTGTCTCAAAGATGGAGCAGAGCAATCTTCCCACCCAGGACTAGAATGTTTCATTAAACAACAAAATGTTTCATTGTGGCTTATCTGGAGAAGGCCTTTTGCCAGAAACTTTGGTGGGGGAGAAGGTCTACTTGTCAGGCACCCAAGGAATCTGTGTTGGCCCATCACAGATGGTAAGGGATGGAGACTTGAACTGCTCCTACCCATTCCTTTTCCTCTCCTTTCCCCCAAGTCTTATCCAGAGGAGCCTCCATGACACCATGAGTCCCTATATGCACGGTGCAGGCAGAGAGTAGAACACATGGTCAGTTGTCCTATGGGCTACACGGTCAAATCACTCTCTTCTGATGCCCACAGCCAACAGACTTGTATTCGTTTACTAGGGCTGCTAGAACAGAGCACCACAGACTTGGGATCTTAACAGGAATGTTTTTCCCTCACAGTGTGGAGGTTGAAAGTCCAAGATCAAGGTGTGGCCAGGGTTGGTTCCTTCTGAGGCCTCTCTTCTTGGCTTATAGGTGCTGTCCTCTCCCTGTGTCTATGTCCAAATTTCCCCTTTTGGTAAGGACACCAGTCACATGGATTAGGGTTCGCCCTAATGACCTCATTTTAACTTGATTATCTCTGTAAAGATCTCTGTCTCCAAATAGTCACATTCAGAGTTACATCAGGTTAGGGCTTCAGCATATGGATTTTGGAGGAGGGGACATAATGCAATCTGTTAACATCACCATCAGCCATTTTCTTTTCTCCATCAACTGGTTTAACTCCTCCATACCTTCATTTGTCAAAGTCTTGTGGTGAGTCCAGCAGTTAAACACATTCATCATTCCTCATCTTTTGAAAGATTTCCAGTTTCACTTTGCAGCTGGGTAAGAGACCATCGACACTGATGGAGGGGGACGGACCCTCTGTACCTGTGCTGTCCAGTAGGGCAGCCACTGGCCAGTGTGGCACATCCGAATCGAGGGGTGCTGTAAGTGTAAAATACACACTGGTGCCTAATAGAGAATATAAAATATCTCATTAATATTTTAAAATATTCATTATATGTTGGAATGATAATATTTTGGATACACCGGGTTACATAAAAGATTATCATTTAAATCAATTTCACCAGTTTTTTTGTGGCTACTAGAAAAATTTCAAGTATATAGATGGTTCACATGATATTTTTCTTAGCACAGCTCTAAAGTTCATTGGAGAGGGATTCAAATTTTTCTGACTTATAAATAGATCTATTCATTTGGGAATATTTTCATCTTGTGGTAACTGTGGGGTCTCAGTTTTTCAAGGATCCCCATGTGATACTTTCAAGGATCCCCATGTGATACTTTGTCTTTCTCCTTTCTCTAGCTTCCAACAGGAAGACCCCAGCTTGACACATGGTTTACTGCTCTGGGCAGGGACTTTCCTGTTTTTAAGAAGCCAGATCCTGTCTGTGTCCATCTCTCGTTGAAGACATGCCCCCATTGGGACCTGCCATGCTTTCCACGTGACAGGATCATAGCTATCTGAATTCTGATGAACCTTCCAGGCCTGATTCCCTTCCAAGGGAAGCTAATGGGGAGGTCTATGAAGAACTGCCTGTTTTAGAATAAAGATCTGACCTTGTGGGTTTCAATTGGATGTGTTCTCCCCAGAGTATGGACTGAGACCTTAAAAAGAAAAGCATTCACAAGTTTGAAGATCAGGGCCCCCAAACCAACTCATCTTCTGGGAAACAAGTAGGAAGCTCTTGCAGTCAGTTCTGATAATAAAGCACACTGGCATCCTGTGTCCAGATGCAAACGTTTTGTCCTTTGTTGAGAAGTTCAAATTCTGGGCAGCTGTGTGTGAACTCAACTTTCTGAGCCTTGGGGGTATGTTTATCTATAAAAATAGAGCCCCACCTCACAGGGTGGCTGTGAGGTTCACTGAGATGATAGACGGAGTGCAGCATCTAACACCTGAAAGCCCCATACATGATCATCTAAGCACCTAGTTGGTCTTGGTTAACAGTTATGTTTCTTTTTTCTTTTATTGATTTTTAGAGAGAAAGAGAAACATTGATGTAAGAGAGACACATCGATTGGTTGCCTCCCACTTGCACCCTGACCAGGGCCAGGGGATCAGACCTGCAACTCAGGTACGTGCCCTTGACCTGGAATTGAACCTGTGAACCACTCTAACCACTCGCCACACTGGCCAGGGCAGAACCTGCGTTTTTAACCAGCCCCTCCTCCCATGAGCCTCCCATGCAATGAAGGTTGCATCCATGTGTAGGAGGGAAATTCTTGGGGTGCTCTAGGACAGACCTACTGCACCCCTCTTTCTAGCTCCTCAATCAAAGCCTGCTGCTGTTCTGACACCACTTGCCTCGTGCTATTATCCTGTCCTGGTGGGGGCTCCTCTTAGGGGTGGAGGGAAGGCCTCACGTTGGACTTGACTCTGTTACAGGGGCACTGTGAAGCTGGCGAAGGCCATGGTAGCCAAAGTATACCAAGCTGAAATGGAAAGATTTTATGAGGAAGAATAGTAGCCCCTGGGCTCCCTTCCTCATGCCGTCTTCATGCCTCTCCCTTCCAGAGAGAGCAAAACTGCTCCCAGTGGAGTGCCCGGTTTTAACAAGGATGCCCCTCTCTGAGGAAGTGTTTTCAATTTAAATGTAAAATAATAAAATGGGTTTCACTAAAGCAATGGTTCTTACCTGGGGTGACAGTGCCTACCAGGGGACACTGTGGTTGACACACAGGGGTGCTCCTGGCATTTGGTGGGTGGGGGCCAGGGATGTTGCTCAGTACCCCACAGTGCTCAGGATGGCCCTCATACCATGAAGAAATGCCAATTTGCCGAGTGGGTGAGCAGTCATATACTGAGACCCCCAAAAAGTCAAAGACTGATAAGGTAAAGCTCATGAGCTGCTTTTACTCAGAAATATGAACACTCTTGAGAAGTTGTGGCCATATAGCCTTATAACCCTCTTAGAAGCCAGAGAGGGAATAGCTCCTGGCTGTTCACAATCACCCAGCGGTGCATCCCAGGAATGGAAGGGTGGAGACCTGCTCCCGTTTATATACTGAGGGGTCTGGGCTCAGGGACTCATACACCAGGCTCGTCAGAAACATCTGGAGAACTTGTGGCCCAAAAATGGTGCCTATTATGCCACACCCTGAACCCAGCCTATAGAAGCAAGATGGAAATAGACATGATCATGCTGTACAGGGGGGCTCTCTGGCTTAGGCAGGGAGCACAGGCATAAGCAAGGCTCAGAGGGGGCCCAAAGACGCCATTATGGACCAGGACAGGATCAAGGAAACCCTCCTTCAAGGGTCATGTACACAAACAAGAACCATGAAACATCCGGGGAAGACCAACATCAGGAGAGAGAGGCTTATACCCAAGGAAACAGAGCTTTCTCCCTGGAGAAGGAAACTGCATTTGAGAAATACACACAGGGAATTGATAAGAGCGGTTTGCAGTCTGACAGGAAAAGAGCTTGAAGCTGTCATTTCCATTCTCATGACATGAAAAACTGAAAATCGGCAACTCACCTTGAATCCATCAGGGAATCTGAGGGAACAGGAAGTGGATGTGAAGAATAGCAGCTCACCTGGAACAGAAACCACCGCTGGAGCCAGCACCTGATGGGAACATTTCAGGGTACTTGACTAATTGCTGGAGACTGAGCGTAGATGAGCATGAAAGATTCTTGAAGACCCAGCATTTGGTGGGGCAGGGCAGGGGCTCACACTACTGAATTTTACCTCCAGGAGCCCCACAAGGTTCTCACAGTGAAGAGCTGAGAAAAACTCTCTGGTGCTTCCCGCAGGGGGAGAGGAAAGTAGGCATTTTTAAATATGCCCAGACCATCCTGTTCTCCTTAACAAAATCCTACCCTCCAAGAGACTGTTTTTACCAGACTCTGATAAATGTGGGTTTTACCAGAGCCTACCCAAGCTGGGGGAAGGAAAATACCTAACTCCAGCCCTGTCTATTCTTCCTCTCAGTTAAAGATGGGGGGTGGGGGGCAGCTGAAGTACCTGTGAAGGTCACAGTCGAAGGACACAAGTTTACCAGACTGAGACCACAGAAAGATAGAAAAGCAATATGGGGCAATTATGTGGGTAAATACAAATAAATGTGGACTGCCATAAGCAACATCAATAACACATATGTGGGATTGAATATCAGAAATGCACCTATTAGCTATAACATCGTAGGCAGGCCAAAGCTGTTTCTTCATCTGTCAATGGAGATTCTGATGGTAGTACCAACCTTGAATGGTTATGAAGAGTCCATGAGGGACTTCTTAGTGTATCACCTGGCCTGCAATAAGCCCTACTGTATTTTTTTAAGTTTTTATTTACTTTTATTTAAATGTTTTTATTGATTTTAGAGAGAGGAAGGGAAATGGAGAAAGACAAACACCGATGTGAGAAACATCAATCAGCCTCCTGCATGCCCCCTACTGGGGATCAGGCTTGAAACTTGGGCATGTGCCCTGCCCAGGAATCAAACTGGTGACCTCTTGATGCATGAGACAATGCCCAACCAAGGGAGCCACACCAGCCAGGGCTGTATTTTTTTAAATTGATTTTAGAGAGAGGAAAGGAAACACTTGTTGCTCCACTTAGTTATGCATTCATTAGTTGATTCTTGTATGTGCCCTGACTGGGGAGTGAACCCATAACTTGACATATCAGAATAACACTCTAACTAACTAAGCTACCCCACCCGAGCCAGCCCTATTGTATTCTTAACACACAAGTAGTTCCACTGTGTCATGTGGGTCTGGGAACTGTGAGAATCACTCTAGACTCTTGCATTCAGATCAGAAACTGTCCCAAAAGGCTGCAAAATCTTTCTTTGGTAGGAAAAACATGGGCAGCCAAGTCCATAGCCCTGATGTTGGAAATGAAATTTCTGGCTAGCAACTAGAAGAGAGAGGAATTGGCTTGTGAGTGTGCCAGCTATCTCTTGAGCTACTGCAGGCAGGGTAGCCAGAGGGCATTGGCCTGCAATGTTGACCACTTGGAAATAGAACTTCTGGCCCCTCTAGTGGGGCGAGCCCTGACTGGACAGAGCTGCTTAAATGGGGCCTGCAAGAGCTTTGTCCCCATGGGGTCCACTCAATTCTACCACACTGAGTCCAGAGTAAAACACAACATGGGCAAGCTGGCAGATGGGCAGCCCAGCTTCCAGCAAAGGATGTCTTTGCCCACATTTTTCTTTCTGTCTAGCTTTCTATCATCTACCTATCCATCCATCCATCCATCCATCCATCCATCCATCCATCCATCCACCTACCCACCTTTTCTCCCTCCCCCCCCCTTCCATCTATTCATCCCTCATCTTCTGAAGTCAGACTTGCTTTTTAACCCAAACCTTGCTGCTAGCATCCAAGGAAAGAACATAATATCAAAAGCAAGAGCTGAGACCAAGTGGTCTGCCATCTTGTTCCTCTTAGATTTCTGGTGGCACCATCTCTATTATTCCAGGAAGTCAAGCTTACTCATACTCCCTGGTCTCCCTCCTGCTGCCCCCAGGCTTGGTCCCAACCTTCTCACCTCTTCCTGGTTGTTGATCTGGAAGCATTGAAAATAGGGAGAGGGGACAAAGAGCCCCAAGGTTATTATGTGTCCCCCCACCAACTCTAAAACAGGAGGAACCGAACAGATTCATAGGTCTACACATAGGTCTGCTTTCCCATCTGACTTTATTTCATTTTTCTATAAAATTCCTCCATAATTTCACAATTTAACAAAAAGTTTAAAATCCAGGACAGAAACAATCCTGTAACTTATTACAAACACAATTCTCCTTATTCCTTTTATCCAGGAGTTGGTCTCGGGCTGATAAGTGTCCTAGTTCCTAGTGAGACACAATCTTTGTAAAAACCCTTATGGGTAAGAAAGGTATTCGATACCTTTTGCTTTCAGGTGTCGGTTTACATTTTGTTCAGGAGATAGCAAAACACAGGGATTTGCACTGGGGGCAGGGGGATTAACACTAAACACGCGGCAATCACAAAGTGCCTGCCCCTTCCTATGGAAGCATCCCTAGAGCCCTCGTGGGCCCAGCTGCCAGGCAGCTGGGGGGTGGATAGGGGAGCAGCTGGGAATGCTGTGGTCAGGGACCTGGCCGCCTGGCACGTCCATTAGGTGGTCATGGGTCAGCAGTCGGCCCAGAGCAGCTCCAGACGACAGCGCTTGAGGCCTTCTGGCCAGAGGAGGTAACTGAGAAATGGGTTGGTGCTTCCGAAGGCCCTGGAAACAGCAGAAAGGGCCAGATGCTGCTGACACAGGGTAAGCCAGAGAGCCTTTCTCCAGCTGCCTCTGGTGAGAGCCCAGCTGCCTTGGTAGCCATGTGGAGCCTGCAGCCCTTTCCAGGAGATCCTTGTGAAGGACCAAGACTAGTGTCCTTGAGCTGAGGCTCCTGCCTTATGACCCCTGGCAGCCTCTGTGCATAGAGAGCCAGGCCGTCACTGCCTTTTGAGCAGCCCATGTCAGGCCAGTTCCTTCTGTCCAGTATCTTGAAGAGTTTCCAGAGAAGAATGTTGTTCACTTTGGAGTATTGCTGGCCTGCCTGGAGAAGGGGATCGTGACAGCACAGGGCCTGCCACACAGGCATGACGTCTTCTTAATACCTCAAGGCAGTGGGGTCAGGGGAGAATCTGAGTGAACGGCGAGGAGTCACAATGGTTTCCTCTGAAAGTTCTCAGGCCTTCCCTGAGAGTTCTGGGGATCTTATCAGGAAGGCTGGAGTTCAGGGAAGCCTTGGAGGTGGGGATCACCTGGGAGTGTTCAGGGTCTGCCTGATAGGCGGAATCAGAGCATGGACATGAGAATCGGGGACCACAGGGAAGGTGAGTATGGCACTCCCCACATCAGAACTCAGGAACCGGGGAAAGGGGCTGTCTGACAGTGGGTTGGAGAGAGAAGGTGAGCCTACCTCTGGGCCCCCAGTCCTTTTCCCCATATGTTGTTCAGGGCAAACGTTGGGGGACTGGAGGAGTCTTGAGTCAAGGTCTGGGGGAACAGAGGCTGAGCAAACAGGCTCTCAGGAGCCCCACCCAAGGTGGGCTGACTCCATGAGGACATTCTGACCCTGGAAGGTGGGCCAGAGGGAGGAAAAGCGGGCCTGGACCTTAGAGAATCTCAGGCGTTCGAGGAATTGAGTCTCGGGGCTCTGGACAAGTGTGAACGGCAAGTGTCGGAGGGCTAAGCCCAAACCAGAGAGAGACAGGAGTGCCCCAGGAGGGCCTGCCACCGGCGGGGCCCAGGCATGAGGAGCTGGCTCTGCGTCCTAACACTCCTTGAAAATATTCCACAAACTATCACGTCTTATTTGGCAAAAGCTCATTTTTTTTTTTCTCAAAGTTTGAAGACTCAATCAATAGAAAGGAGGAAGAGGATCCTATGGAAGAAAGGAGAGGCCAAGGCCCGTTACAAGTGGTGGCCTGTAGCTGGCTGGAGCCCGGGAGGTCTGCTCCTGGAGACAGCTGCCAGTCTGACCAGACGCCTGAGGACCTACTGTTCCATCGTAGTGTTCACGGCCCGGGCTATGCCTTTTGAGTCCCGGGAAGAGGACGAGGCGTCCTTGTACCACTGAGGGAGGATCCTCCCTGCACTTGGAGAAAGCCAGTTGGTGCTCCGGCTCGGCCTCTAGCCCAACGACAAGACCAGTGGAGACATCTTAACCTAAAAGTCCCACCTTACCCCCCACCCCCCACGTGCACTGCTGCCACAGAAATGCACACCCGGAAACCGCTCTGGTACCTACAGTGCATACATACATATATAATAGAGAGACAACTATACAGCACGGAGTCCCAGCACAGTGAGAGCCAAGAGAGGGGCTGCATCCGGCACACATGGAGGACGAGCCAAGGCCTGGCTTGGAGCAGCTGGACCCTCTGAGGTCCTGGGATGCGGTGTGTCTGAACCGTCTGGGGAGGCTGGAGATGGTGCCCCAGCAGCGACACCGTGCCACATGCCCCACCATGGAGCAAGGCTCCCACCGTTGGGCACATTTCTTCCCCTATACAGGAATGAGGCCCAGTGTTGCCTTCAACACAAGCTGCTTTCCAAGGGGGACCCAGGTAATGGCCCCTGAGTGTCAGGGAGCAGCAGCAGTGCCAGCTTGACCCCCCTCGGCGCCAGGGCTCCCGGTGAGCTGGTGGGAAGGGCAGGCCGGGAGCCAACAAGGAAAGTGCAGCTGGCCGTGTGGGCCGAGGACAGGGCGGTCACTAAGGCAGTGCTGCGAGCGAGTGAATCGAGAGAGAGAAAGGCAGGCAGGGTCCGGATGTGGCCTCCCGGGACCCCGATGACAGGGGCCCGGCACCCGGCCCAGGGTCATGTGGCCACAGCCTCCAGGTAGCTCTGCAGCTTACGCACAGTTGTCTCATCCAAGGAGAAGAGGTCAAAGTCAAAGGTGGTGTTGGTGACATTGAAGTGGCCGGTCTCCTCAATCAGGTTCACAATCTGGAAAGAGGTGGCAGGGTGGCTTCAAAAGACAGGAAGTTGGGCTGGGATGTCTCCCACCCTCCAAGAGACCCCTGAGGAAGAGGATCCTTGGGGCTGCAGCAAGGGGTTCCAGCAGCCTGCAGGCCTTACTGGCACCCCCTGCCCCAGGGACTCATGTGTGATAACCTGTGTCCTCAGCAGAACCGAGGGGCAGGGTGGGCTCCGTCCTAGTACCTGCTGCAGCACGTTGCGCTCCCGCAGGGCCATCAGCCTCCTGTGCAGCTCCACCAGCTCATCTGTGTAGGCCTGGGGGTGGTAGACCAGCACTCAGCAGGTGGTCTCAGCCCTTCCAACTGCCCAGCCCTGAGGAAGCCCACCCGTGGTCCTACCCATCACAGCTGGGCACCTGGGACAGAGGATGGCCTGATGCTGCTGGGGCCAGCACTTCGGCATACCTGAGCTCGCCCACCCAGTTCAGGAGCCCCGGGGCGCCACCCCACCCCACCCAAGCCCCCCACCTTGTCATAGGTGCCCCTCTTGAGGATCTTCTCAGGCTTGCTGCAGGACTCGGGGCTCCTCCGGCCTGATGCCTGCAGGACAAACCTGGGTCTGCTCTCAGCTCTTACCCATGCCCCTCCCCAGCCCCTCACAGATTTTCCAACCTCCCCAGGGCCACAACTGACTGTTTAGAGCCAGCCTGGAGCTCCGGGGTCACCTGACCTCCTTCCTCTGGCCTCTGACCCTATAAGAGAAGCCCATCCTGGGGAGCAGACACACTTCTGGGGCTTGGGGGTGAACCAAGTCTCTCTCTGCACCCACCACCCTCAGCCTGGGACCCTGGGAAAACCCTAGGCCCAGAACCAATAAAGGCCCAGCTCTTAGCCCTGCTTCTAGGATGTGACGGCGACCTGCCCACCTGGTAGACATCCTCCTCTGGGTAGGAGCCCCCGAGAGTGCCCCCTGGACTCACCTTGCTGTTGGGTGGGGGTGGCTTCTTGGGGGCAGGGGGTTCTCGGCTGGGGAGGCAGGAGTCAGCACTGTTGTCACTGTCGCTGTCACTGAAGCTCAACCTGAACACGCGACATGGTGCTCTGTCAGGCCTCCACTGCCCTGCTGCTACAGGACCTGTGCCTGACCCAGGCTTGCCTAACAATGGGATACCCCTCCCTGTGGGTGAAGCATGCTCCCCCTAAACCTCACTCAACTCTGGGCAGCCACTGCAAACTTAAAACAAAAAAACCCACAATGTTGTCACCTTCATAGGGCAAAGAGCCCAGAGCCACAGGCGTGTAATCTAAGAGGCATGTCCCATGATGCAGGTCTCCTGGGGCCAGCACACCAGATGGGACACCCTGCAAGTTGGAAGGATGGAGGTGTGCTAGGTTCTGCTCCTTTCACATGGTCCTCCTGCTACTCCTGCAGCAAGGGGTGCAGACTACAGGATTCACAAAAAGTAACCGCAGTTTCCACCTTAGCCTGAGCACTTTGGAAACTGGCATTCCTCAGTGACATCAAGGCATTCCCATCTGAGTGGGGCCCTGAACAGTGTGTCTGGTGGTGGCTCAACCTCAATCCTTCTGGGGGGCAGGGCCCTGGGTGAGTCCTCAACCTCTGCCTCACCATTTCCTCACCCAGAAAATGAGGTCCTAAATGAGTAGTGCACAGGGAAGGGGTGGACTCACAGCGACAAATGGTCACTACTGTCTTGGGAAGCAAGGGTGTGGTTACTCAAAGTTCAAAATCTTCGACTAGCTAGAATTGGAATGCCTCTCTTTAGAGTCATGATTCTCACGATCTCAGTCTGGAAAACACAGGCTGGTCCAGTCCTTTCGGCTTTTTCCAGAATTTCTCACAGCACAGCGAGTGCGTATAGAGGGAGCAAATTTCTCTCCAGCCCCCCACCAGCTGGGAATTGCCTGCTCCCCTGGGGGCCTCCCTTGGGAGAGGCTCCCTCTGGGATCGCAGTCCCTCATAGACATTTTGGGCTTGATCTAGCAAAGGGGAGCTCGACAACTGTTCCTCCACATCTGCAACACAGTACACCCTGCCTGCCACCTCCTCCCTCTACCTAAAATGCCTCACTGTGAAAGCAGTGCCAAGACGTGTCAGGAATGTTGCATGGAGCCTGGGCTTCAGGGGCTCCTGTTTTATTCCCCCCAAGGTCAAGGCTGTCCATTTACTCAGGTAAACTTCTCCCACAGTAAGCACCAGGCCTTGGGGCCCCTGCTCTCCTGAGGCTCAGACCTCTCCCCCCAACTTCCCAGCTGTGAATCACTCTGGTGGGAAAGGCAGGTGGTGTCTCCTTGTTGCCCAGGCGACACTACTGTGTCAGCCAGACCTAAGCTCGGCCCTACTGCTCTGCACACCCCTCGAGCCCTCCTCTTCCCAGGGTCCAAAAGGCAGCAGAGTTGGGGGCCATGCAGACTGTGGGCCTCTCCAGGGAACAGACCAGGATACAATGGGGTTTAGCCAGCTCCTCTCAACCAGCTGCAGTGCCAATGCAAGGTGTGCATGGCCCCTTCCCTGACAATGGATGTCGTCCCCCCTCAGCGCTCAGGGAAGCCCCACCCAGGCTTTCCATGTCTGCCCCTGCAAAAGGACGCTCAAGGTGCTTCTGCACGGTTGTTCCCTGCACCACTGCTCCTAGAGTCCAGCAGGAGTCCACACCAAATGTTGCCAGCACTGAACAGGCAGGAGCCGTTGCCGTGAATCCTGTCCTGGGAGACAGGCAATCCTCCTTGGGCCCCTCCCCAGCTAAGTCTCCATTTAAGACCTCTCCACAGCCACACACTCAGGATGGTGGGTTTAATCAGCTATACTGACATAGACTGCCTATAAGCACTGGTAAGGCATCCCTGTGCCTGGTGAGTATAGACTGGGTGACCAGCCTGGCTTAAAGAGCTGCTGAGGCTTGGAGGCCTTAGCTTCTCAGGAGGAGGTACTGAATCTGAGCCCGACCAGGCTGCTGACCCAAGTCTGCCCCTTCCTCGGGCCTGGGGCCAAGGCTGGCATTTGGTCTGGGCAGGAGGCTGAGAATGCACAGCCATCCTCAAGGTGCTCGCTCTAAGGGTCTGGGGTGTCCACAGGACATTTCTCAGTCTGTCCCCACCCCATACACACATGTGGGGAAGGGGAAAAGGTCCCAAGGCCTGAGAACAGAAAACCATCCCACCCCCACCCTAAACCTTGCCTCAGATCAGGCCTGGCCCTAGGGCCGCTGGGCATGGCCTTTCCCAACTTCTCAGATGGTGACTGGAGTTCTCCCCCTCAACATCCCACCCCTTCCCGCCAGGCAGCCCACACCTTCCAACGACAGAGGAAAGGATGGCCCTCCACTTCAGGTAATAGGAGAAACCGTGTGGGCCCTAGGCAGGGCACTGTCCAGTAGGCTGAGATGCTTCCCTTGCTCCCACCCCAGGGACACTCCTGTCCTAGCCCGCCTCCTCAAGGCCTCATAAGCTCAGCAGAGCTGCTGAGATCCCCTCTCTACACCCCCACCCCTCACCAGCCCGGGTACCTGGAATCCCTCCCTGCATTCGTCTTGCCGGCAGCCTCCTCTCCTGATGAAGAGTCATCCTCGTCGGACTCCTCGGACTGTAGGTCCTCCACCATGGAGCGCAGGGGTCCTGGGGAGGGTGGCAAGGAAGGGGGGAGGGATAAAAAGGGGTGGTCAAGGCTCTGCCTGGGCCCTGCAGGGTCCCCTCCACCTCCAGGGCCACACGAGCTTCTTGACACCACAATCCCCAAAATGCACCCACAGAAGCCCGCACAGGAAGTCCTTCTGGCCATGTGGGGCCTGCCGCCCATCTCCAAGGACTGTCCCTAAGGCTACACTCTGCCTAAAGGACCCTCTGGCTTCCCCACATCCCCTACCTTCCTGGCCCTGCTCGCAGGCCTCTGGACCCTGACCCGAGGCAGGATCACAGGGCCCTTCCATTGCCAAAGCCAAAGGAGCAGCCCTCCTCTGCTCCTAGTGCTGAGATCAGAGCCTCTGCCTGGAGCCAGGACCAGCCAGCCTTGCCGGGAGGGCGAGACAGCCAGAGCCCTGTGCCCCTACTCGGCCTGCCCAGCGCCTCAGCAACTCCCTCCGCTGCTACAAGCCCACCGTCTTCCCCCTTTCTCTAGAGGCACGGGTTCCAGTCCCCTACAGAGGCATCTTTGGTTTATATTCCTGTTACCAAGGCAACAGAGGGACACAAAGCCCTCAATTACCTTGGTCACATGATCCTGCTTCAGCAGGTTCCCCCTCCCTTCCCCATAGATAAGAACCCTTGGAAGAGAGTGTGGGCTTCCAGCACCCCATCCCCCAGACCCCCTCAGTGACTACACATCTGAATTCTAGGTCAGAACCCCCACCCAATACGCTCTCCTCCTCCAGCTTTCCGCAACCCTCAAAAATAGGATTTCAGGCTGTGGGGGGAGGAGACTATCGGCCCAATCCACCAGAAGAAATGCCTCTGGTTTGAGGGTGAGTGGCGGGGTTGGTGGGCCCCATGCCACTCTCTCAAACCTGTATCCTGCAGGCTGGGAGTGGCAGGCCCACCCTGCACCTGAGGAAGGCCCTCCCTGATCTAGGGCAGCCAAGTGGGCCTTACGCTCTCTCCCCGCAACAGCCTCTCCATTCCCAAGGGTCCTGCAGGGAAAAGGCAAAAATGCAGACTGCTGAGTGCCAGCCAGACCCACTGTAAGAGCAGAGCATTCCTGCCCTGATCCAGGAGAGCTTTCCTATAATGGGATGAGGTGCGGGGACTGGCAAAGAACTGATGCCACCTCCATCTGGGAGGAGCTGGTGAGGAGGGTGTCTGGCTATAGATAGGGCCCAAGTCAGAAAGGGGCCCTTCTCCACTGGCCCACAAGCACCAGCACCTCACCAGTATAGCTCGAAGCCCTCATTATACAGACGGTGTCCTGAGGGCTCAGGGGACTGACACCAGGAAAGCATTTCCCACACCTGGCTGGCAGTCAGGTAAACTGTTTCTGCTTTTCTTTTTAATACACTCCCTGAGCTTCTACAACCTATGAATGTGGGTATCTGGGGGCCTAATCTGGGCAAGCAGTATTATACTGAAGAAATGCCCAGGGTAAGTTCAGCTCAGACATGTGGCTCCTGCCCTCCCTCATCACTCCAGGACGTTCCTCATCAATCTCACCCTCACCCATCATTCTAGGCCCTTCCCTAATCATCCCTTCCCCTGACCATCCTCCATCACTCCAGGCCTGCCCCCATCATCCCCACCCACCATCACTCCAGGCCTTCCCCCATCATCTCCCACTCTTCCCCCTCACTCTAGGCTCTCCTCATCACCCCATGCCCTAGGGTAAGGTATCAGTGGGTTTTTCTGGCAGTGGCAGCAACTGTCAGACCCTGCTGAAGTTCAGGTATGGAGTGAATCCCTAGGGAAGTCACAGGAAATTACTCATAAATCCCTGTGATTTGATAACAAACCCAGAACCCCACCAGCCTCTAGGTAGAGTCGGGCTGCTCCCACAGCAGTAAGCCACAGAAACGTCCCATCTTTCCTTTGTTATCACCCACCTTGACTGTGGTTCTGAGATGGCTCAAAATCCGAATCTGAACTGGAGTCGGAGCTGGAGCTGGAGTTGGATGGGCTCGACTGGGCAGACTTCACCCCACAACAGGGGGTGGAGGGAGGAGTGGGACAGTGTGGAGAGAAGACAAGAATAATCTTTCAGTCCAAAGAAAAGGAGTGAACAAGAAATGCATTATGGCAGCGGCAACACCCAGCTGAGACTTTCCCCAGAAACACTCAAAGCTGCCAGGCTCAAAGCACACAGGAGGAGCCCTGCACATGCTCCTGAGAACGTGGCTTCCTGGGTCCACAGGCACCCAGCCCCAGGACACCACCAGTTTGCATTCCAAGTGCAATGGCCTTTCTTTTCCCATTAAGGAACTGTAAATTTCTAATAGTTCCGGGAGAAGCTCACATCACATCACTGGTTTTCCCATGAGCCTAGGCTATCCATGAAAGGAAGGGTGTAGCACATCTGTTTGTGGGCCCTGCCTTCCTCCTGTGAGGGCAAGAGCTGGTGATGGGGGCTGTGGTGCCATGAGGAACAGAAGTAAGATCTGGAACAGGAAAGGTAAGTGGAGACATAGCTTCTCATTCTGCCCCATGTTTCCCCACAGCCAGTCCAAAGGCTAAGTGATGACAAAAAGCTGTCCCCCTGTCACGTGCTGTCATCACCCACCAGGTGCCCTGAGGTGATGATGAATGCGTGCATGTGACAGCCAGGTCACATTCTCCTCTTCTTCCTGCAGCCTTCCACCCCAACTCAGCCATCAGGGGGCAGTAAAAGCCAAAACTAGGCCACTAGGCCTTAGGATACATGGGGGTAAGATGACTGGGAGTTGTACTTCCCTGGGTTGAAAGGAACTGGTCACTTCAGACTCCTGCTCAGGGAAGGAGCCTCTGGCCTCACCGCACAGAGCACTAAGCTAGAACAGGGGCCTTGGTTTCTGCCAAGAGGCAGTTGAGAAAGTACGTATGGCAGAGCAGGCCACTGTTCTATGGCCTAGGCTCTGAAGGGCATGAGGGCAAAGTTCACAGCTCCAAGAGTCTGCCCTGGCCCAGAACACCCCAGACACCTGGGAGGCCGCCTTACCCCCAGCAAGCCTGTTCTGGGGCTGGGGGTTGTCTAGCCCTCCTGTCTCAGGGGGGACCATCTGGAGGAATGGAACACCTTGACCACTTGGCACCAACCACCAGTGGGCACCTCCCCTTGTCAAGCAAGAAGAGAAAGGGACCTGGTGACAGGCAAAGACACCTAACAGTGTTTGCTTAGTCCTGGCATGTATCATATGAGAGGAGACTCTAAGAAAGGAGCCCCTGACCTGCAAGGGATCAGGAAAGTCCCTCCTGGTGGTCTGCGGGCTGAGGGCAGCTTCCAGCCCGCAGAGGGGACCCAGGAAGGCACAAGTCTCTGCTCACTCAATAGACCCAGAGAGTAATCAAGCCACCTGGGGACAGAATACTTGTCACCTGAAGAATTAAGGGGCCTCTTCTCTAGAGTTTACCTCAGCCTAACCCATCTGCTCCAGGCCCCTGATGCCCCCCCTCACATACCTTCACACTGGAGAATCCTCTGGGGGAAACCTAGCCTAGATTACCATCAACTGTTGGGATGCCACACAGACCAGGATGACCCCCAACCCCCAGCAATGGGCCTGGAGCCACGTGGCCCCTCTGGCATGCAGACCCCTGAGTTCTTATTCTGGTTCAGTGGTCCTGGTTCTGATCCTGGCTTTCTCACCAACTGGCCAACACCGTCCCTGCTTTAAGCCTCAGTTTCCCCCCATCTGTAAGAGCTAGTGTGTGTGCCACCTGCCAGCACATGGAGGCCAATGCCCACTGTGTCTCTGCCATTTGGGGCAGAGAATCTGGACAGACCACCTGGGCCAGGGGCATGAGGAGCGGTGTCCATGAGGCTGACACAAAATAGCAGGGCCAGGGCAGGAGATGGATCCAAGCGGAGGCTGTGTGCAGGCTCAGGCAGCAGGCTGGGGAAGCAGGACCCATGAGAGGTGGCTCTGGGCCCTGTGCTGGGGATGAGGGGTGGCGAGTAAGTTAGACGACCTCAGATGTACTTGTCCCTTTTCCTTCCACACAAATCCAAGAGGTGGAAATGGTTTCGGCCTAAAGAGCCTAGAGATGTATGAATGCCCACAAAAGGTCATACGAGTGCTGCTGCTGATTGCTCGTGCTCAGCCACATGCAGTGTCCAGCAGGAGGGCAGAGGGGCCTGCTGGGCTCCCAGCACTCCTGGCACATGACTGAACAGGACCCCGTGGGTCAAGAAGACCACAGAGAAGCAGCTGGGGGAGCTGGGGGCTTGGCCCAGGGACTCAGACAAGGAGCCCCCCAATCCTCCCTCGTCTAGGCGGGAGGAGGCAACTCAAATTCCCTGCGATGGTCAGAGCTTTCCAGTGGTGGCGCCCCTCCCAGCATCCAGGGTGGGATGGCCTTAAACAGTCAAGAGAGGCTGGGAGGCTGTCTCACTTCCTCCACCACAGATGTCTGTGCCTCGCCAAGGTCCCAGGGCTGAGAAATGTCATTGAGTCACTATCTGGCAGTCCTAGAGACTACCCTGTTGGTAGCCTGGGTCTCATACCTGCACAGACCTTGAGTGGTTAGGGCTTGTCATTCAGAAGTTTCTCAGGGCTGGGATGCAGTGCTTCAACCAACAGAAACCCCCCAGGCTTCCACAAAACTCCAGCCTCAGGTCCAAGGTGCACAAGGCCATAGACACCGGACATTCAGCCCACTCTCAGCAGCAATGCTCTGGAGGGGAAAGGCTTCCCACAAAGCATGCCAATGATCACAGTCAGACATCAGTGTGGACACCTGGGACATCAGAGGAGGCCTCCATCTCTTACCCAATGAAGGTACACCAGCCTTGGGTGCAGAAAGGCCAAACCTGGAATCATCCAGGGTGGAAAAGAGGGAAAGGCACCTGCCCAGAGCTCCAGATGCTGAGCAGACAGATGAGAGATGATAGACCAGGGTGCTGCTGAGCACCCAAAGAATCTGCAGCAGCTGAGCAGGATACTAAGATGGCCCTGGATGGCCAGGAGGCTTCTAAATAAGAGACGTTCCAAGGTCCTGCCATCTTAGGTTCACTGGCAGTGTCTCCTGGCTATGAGGAGCGCTAGGCACATGATATCATAGGCCCCATGTGTGCCCCTAAGCCAGTGGGTACACTGTTACCCATGAACCAAATCATCACCCCCAGTGCTGCTGCCTCCAGTGAGGTACCCCTGGAAGCCACGTGCTCATGACATTGGTAGTGCTGACACAAAAGAGCTTTAGCTTCATCTCTAGGAGCCACTTTCAAAGTCCCAATGGAGCCCCAAACAGCAATGCTGGAGACAAAGCTTCAGCCTTTGAGAGTGAATGAAGATTTGGAAATAGCAAAAGGCCACTGAGTGCTGGGGTGGTGCTATAGGTAAGAGGATCATTCATTCACTCATCCATTTATACATCCGTCCATACACCCAGGCACCTGTTCTCTGACCACCAGATGCCAAACACAGTCTCGGAGATGACATCACCTCTCGAGGCCCCAGTGGAGTCTGGCCACCCAGTCAGCAATCTGGCTATGTGCTCTTTTGTGGTTCAAGGAGTTTCTCACAGTTATCTTCAGAGAGTCACCTGGAAACACTGCTGCAGGAGCCCAGAGCCTCTCACAGTGATAGGATGCTGCTCTCGGAGAGGGGCTCTGGCCCATGCTTAGAAAATAAGCCTTGCTGACTAGAGATCCCTGTGTCTGGGCCTCAGGAACAGGAGCAGGTGGGTGGTAGGGGTGGTGGGGCCTCAGACTCAATCAGCCATCTGGGAATGGAGCCAGGCAAGGCTCAGTGGCCAGCGTTAAACCTGCAGACCAGGAGAGCAGGATGGAGAGGCACAGGAATTCCCTGCTGGCAAAGGGAGTGAGTTCCCTAATAGATCAAGCATGTGGTGGCCAGGGAGGGGGTAACAGTGAGACACGATAGCCCACCCTGACCCCAAAGCGGTCACCAAGACCCTGGGCGATGCAAGCTCAGAACCTAGGTACCAGACTATCATGTTCTACCAGAACCATCCTTCCCTAAGCACCATTTCCACAAAGCCCTCACAGGCAGGCTTTATCCCCTTATTGACAAAAGGGGAAACTGTGGCTTAGCAAGGCTCTCAGGTGTACCCAAAGCTACAAGGAGCAAGTGGGAGCCCTGGGCCTGAGATCCCAGTCTTCTCGTCTAACATTTGGGCTGACAAGGCTTTCGCTGGCTCAGAGCCAAAGAGGATGGACAGGGATGATGGGGTTAATGGGGAAAGGGGGCACCTCACCTCTGTCTTGAAGGAGGCCTCGTCCTCCGAGTTGGACTCCTCCACCTCTGGGGGCTTTTTGATCTCCCGGGGCTCACTCTCAGCCTTGATCTTCTCCACTTTGGTGCTGCCCTTGTCCTTGGCCAACTTTTTGTCTGAGAAGGAGGAGGAAGAGGTGCGAGGGGAAGTGCCAGGGGCACTCCTGGACCCCTTGGAGCTGCTCTTCTTCTGCTTTTTGGCACTAGGCTTGGGTGAGTCAGCGGTGGCCGGCCGTTTGCTGGAAGACTTGGGTGGTGGCGGTGGTGGGGGGCCACCCTTGGGGGACAGGCTCTCCAGTTTGGTCTCCTTCAGGGCCATCTTGGGCTCCTTAAATGCAGCCTTGGGTGGCGGGGCCTTCTCCTCCTTGGGTGGCCGGCCCTCAACCAGCTTCCGTGAGGTGTCCTTGGCACTCCTGGCTTGCTCCCGATCTGGCTCCTTGGAGGGGCCCTTGCTCTCCGAGTCTTTGCGTGGCCGTTCACGGTGCTCCTTGGCCGTCTTGTGGGCCTTGTAGGCCTTGCCACTCTCCCTGCTGGCATCCTAAAATGTTGGGTGGGAAGGGAGACATAGTCAAACAGCATCTCAGGGAGCCCTGCTTCACCTCCCCCGACCCCTACAAAATATAATCCACCTGATTCAGACTCAGCTAGAGAAAATCTTCCAAAAAGCGAAAAAGTAAGGCAGCAGGTGAGAGTTTTAAATGGAGCTGTCCCTTTAAACTACTAGGAAGTGTCAGCAGGTCCCAGGCGACTGCAGGCTAAGATTCCCCTCTGAATTGAACTGACATTCCCTGAGGGATTCAAGAAGAGCACAGTGAGTCAGACAGAGAAAGGCAGCCACACATACCCCTCCCACTCAGATACCTTGCAGCTCCCCACTGGGGGCTCTAGCAGGTGGGCCTCCCTCTTCTGTCCCCACCACTGAGACTGTGTGCCTTCTGCCTGGTCGCCTCAACCCAGTGTGGCCTGACAGACATAATGGTTCTTTGATCCCCACGGTAAGCACTCACTGAGTGCCTGCTGGGTTCCCAGGAGCTGTTCCGGACCAACAACTCCTGACCTCTTAGAATAGAAGCTGCCTGGATAATGTGTATGGTTCTTGGGAAATTCAGAGGTTTCAGGGTGGATCAGCCAGGTCACGGAGCTCTGGCTGGAGACAGAGGCAGAAAGCAGCTCTGCTTCAGGCTGCTGGGAAAGATAGGCCGGGGGACACCAACCCTGTGTGCCCTCACCTCCTCTGAACAAGGGTAAGACCACCTACCTACCTTACCAACGATGGTGCAGGGGTCTGGCTGACAGCAAGCACTCAATCATGGGGGCTGCAGCCAGCCTACACATAGCCAGCGCACCCTTTGGGTGAAAGCCTGCTCTGACTCCTTGTTTGCCTCCTCCCTATCAACTCTCCATCACCCCTCACGTCCAGGGCTGCTAGTAGGTGCACACTGCTGTCAGCTGCCAAGGGCCCTGCCCTGCACTCAGTCAGCCAGGTGCACAGCTGGGCCCAGAGGCTCTCCAGATCAAAGCTCACCAGGAAACCAATATCAGCCAGACCCAGAGGATGGCATGCATCACCTGAGGCAGTCGCACTTTACCAGGTCACCCTAAGTGCCAAGGGGATGGGTGAGGCAGCTAAATGCCCAGCAGCAGGACCTCTACCTCCTGCTCTCCCAGCCCACCTGAGGGCCCAATGAGAGAATTTCACAATAAAGAGCTATAAGGACAGATAGCACAGCCTTGACCACCGCAGATCTACTTGGTCAGTCTTTTTGCAAATCCACATGAGGGCCAAAGGTTCAGGGACAGCCTTGTGTGGCCGTGGGATCCTGCTGACTCCCTAGAGAAACACTGGCCCCTGTGCCCTGGCCCTGGTAGCTCTTCTATCTCCAGGGCAGTGAGAAGGGGTACTCACACCATAAGCCCTCAGCTGACCATCTAAAGGCGTGTCCCCCTCAGGGCTGGTGTGTGGAATGAGGCCAGTCCCTGGGGACTCCACTCTCCAGCAATCTGCTCCCCTGGGGAGGGAAGCAAGAAGCAAACCACACATGTGATTCCAGCCTCTTCTCAAAATATCCACATACCCCCAGGGCTGTAGGAGTTGGCCCTAGCCCCAAGAGGCAGGGCAAAAGCACACCCAAAAAGCATGTCTGTCAAAGCCTCAGCACAGTTCCTACTGTGTCACCCTGGGGTCAGCCAAGCCTCCACTGCTGCCCAGGGCCTGTCCAGCAAGCAGGGGCCTTCCGAGCAGCAGCTCTTCACTGGGAGGTCTGCATTGGTGCTCCAGAATAGGCTCTCTGAAATCACACACTAAGTTCTGAGAGTAATGTGAATGTTCCCAGGGGCGAGGACCCCTCACAGTCACGTTCTCAAGCCATCAATGATGCAAATATGGCTAAGAACCAAGTTTTGGAGAAAGGTCACCCAGGCCAACCTGCTGATGTCAGACAGGGAGAAGCTACAGGTATGCAAGTCCAGGGGTGCTGTGGGGTGGGGACTAAAGGGAATACCATCCTTGAAATATGAGCCTTCAGGGGTCCCACACCTCTCACAGGAGGCTACAACTCCTGCCTTCCATGCTACCCTCCAAGGAGACATGAGGTGGGCACAGACCACCAGCGACCAATCTGCCTGGGGCTACAAAAGCCAGACACTCCAGTGGCCACCAGGTCGGGAACCCTGACAAGCAAGGCCCTGCATGACCAAGCCCTTCCCTCCCAGTCCCCTCTGCCTGAAGCACGTGACCTGGCAATCAGGCTCTTCGGGTCCAGGCAGCAGAGAACCAATTTGGGGGGTACAGCCAGTACTCAAAGGAAGGTCCTCATCTGGAGGAACAGGCTGGTGCACAGGCCCTACCCTCCTAGAAGAGCAGAGTGAGGCTGATGGCTCAGAAGCCAGGACAGAACAGAGAGAGGAGGCTTCCTGCAGAGAAGAACCTGCCTTGTGCTGCCTGAGAAACCTATGTAGGAGCCTCTTACGGTATGCCATCCACGTGGCTAGAGAAAGATTCTGAGACAGAATGGGTGGAGACCAGGCACCCTACCTACAGGCCTCTAAGCCTAGCAGACATGCCCACCTGGCCTGGGGATTCCTGGGGGGTCGCAAAGACATTCCAGTGAGAGAGGCCATGACCAACTCCAGCAGATGCAGCTCTATTGGCCACAGGAGCATCCTCACCACCAGGAGGGCATCTCTTCATGGGCTGACTCACAAGTGACACAAACCGAAGAAATGACAATTTCTACCCTTCATATTTTGCATGGACTTCCAGACAACTGAGTGGCTGAGAGAGAAACTGCCAAGATTTCTAGGAAGAATTTCTCTTCCGTTTGACCTCCATGAGGCTCAGGAAAGATGGCCCGGGAGATTGGCATGGCGAGACCCTCAGAGCTGCACTCTGTACTTAAGACTCTGGCCTCATAAGTCTCAAGGGCTTAAGTCAGATGAATCTGAGGATTTCAGAAACTCACTGGCCTGGGGAAAGTGCCAGAAAGACCCTGCCTGGGCGACGTTGCTCTCCTCCAGTGTTGCTGCTGAGTAAGGCTGTAATTTGGCATGAGAGCTCAACCTGTCCCACCAGGGATGCCCCAGGCCCACAACAACCAACAGGTGAGTGAAGAAAGAAAAATGCAAAGATGAGAAGTGGATAAACTTGTGGGGTCAGCGTCACAAAGACAAGCAGCTGCCCTGAATGCTAGATGAAACCTGGCCTCTGGGACACAGAGCTGTGTAGGCGGCAGCAGGGGAATGGGACGAACACTCAGGAGTTTATGTGTACATCATGACACCATCAGAAGGGCTCTTGCAGCCACTCTGGGATGATTAAAAGAGTGGTCTCAGGAAGGTAGAGTGCCACCCACCTGACGGGGCTGAGAGATGATGATAAAACGTTTCTTCTTGGGGAAAATCAGCTCACTCACTCAAATGGTTCTACCTAGCCCTTCCCCCCAAGTAAGTTTTCTCTGCCGACAGCTGCTGCCAAAGAAAGAAGCCAAACCTGGAACAGCCCAGGGAGGAAGCACCCAGCCCCGATAGATGGAGCGTCCTGGGTGCACTCAGGAGACCTGAAAAGGTAGGCAGTGGTGGCTGCAGTGGACACACTCTGTCCATGACTCCCAACCATGTGAAACTATCTTGGGGTTCTGAGTGGTCCTAAGCCCACTGACTCAGAGGGAGAGGGGAGGACAGGGCAGACTCTCTGGCCTCAAGAGGAACAGGGTGAAGAGCCTGTGATTACTAAACTGTTCTATGCACCCCAGGAGGGGCCAACCCTTCTGACTAAGTGGCAGAGAGCAGCCACAGGGAGCACAGAGAGCTCCAAGAGAAAGATGCCAAGGGACAGAGTCGGGGGACAGAAGGTCCAGCTCTGCAGAGGGAGCACCCTGAGCCCAGGACCCTCTGCTGGGCCCCAGTGCTTCCATGTGACTGGGCCTTCCACCTCACTAACCTTGGAGCCGTGGGACGGTTTGGTCTTCTTGGGGTCAGAGAAGGCAGAGAGTGGAATTGTGGGTAACATGGGGTAGTCAGGACTGGGCCTGGACACCGTTTCTGCTCCTTCGGGCATTACCATCACCTAGTGATAAAGAAGAGACAGATGTTATCAACGAGCAAGGAAGCAGGCTGGAAATCCGATGGGTAAGAGGAAGTTGGCTTGCGGGAGTGCAGCTAGAGGTGTCCAAGCTTCCTTCTGGGGGAGGGGGCTAGGGAGAGCCTGGGTGTCACTTTCCCAAAAGAGTCGACAGCATTTCCTCTGTGAGGGTCTGGGTGCTTGCTGAGTGCTCAGCGTGAAGCGGGCTCATGGTGGAGAGCAAAGAGAAGCAGAGTCCCAGGATGGCTGGGCCCAGGTACAGTTGGTGCAGTCTTGGGGAGGAGGGCCCTGGGCCAAGAAAACTGGCAGCGTGTTCGAGAAGCACAAGAAGGCAGCTGTGGCCAAAGCTGGCCTGCGTGCTGCAGTTAAGACAGACCAGAAGCATGAAGGTGAGAAGCCAGGCAAACGCCCACTCCGGGAAGGTGTGTGGAGGAGAAAGCAACTTCTGCTGGACATGCATGTGCATGACTTCGCCGGGTCCCACATCTCCTGGGGGAGCCTCACTCCTCCACTCTCAGGTGAATAAAGTTGACTGAAACAGGGAGCGAACATCGAAGCCAAAGCAGGAGGAAACTGCACAGGGGCAGGCCCAATTCTCTGCAAAAGCCACTTGATGGAGCCTGCAGGAGAGGGACGTGAGTTCTGCCCATAGTTTACTACTAGGAGGAAGAAGGATCTGGGCTTCTGCCAAGATGTGCTCCAGGAAACACCTGCCCAGATCCAGTGAGGCTCCTCTGGCACCTGCTAAAGGGAGAGAAGACCCGAGGGCAAGTTCTCAAAATACAGACACTGGAAGTGCACACTACCACTCAGAGGTAGCCTTCCAGATGGCAACAAGACAGACAAAAGAATAAAGTTCAAGTGAAAAAGAAAGAACATTCGGCTTTAGTAACCTTGAGCACCTAGGATCCTTGACGAGCCCAACCTTTCATCTGAGGAGGCAGATGTAATGCCTAGTCACGGTCATGGGGACATTGCGTTGAAAGGAGGGCAGTGGAACCCTTCGTGCCACTCCAGCCCCCACCCCTGACTCTGAGGCAGTGAGGCCCGAGGCCAAGTTGCTCATCAGAGCCTGTCTCAACTATAATATTCTTAACCACAGCGCTCAGAACCCTCCTGACCCTGGCCGACATGGCTGAGGATCACCAGGCCTTGGGAAATCACCACACTCTAAGGCCAGGAAGGACATGCACGAGGTTAGAGAAGCGACTGACAGCCTAACCCAGAACAGGTTCCCTCAGAAGCCTGAGTCTGTTCCCTTGAAGACCATGCCTTTGTTTTCATTTCCCTTCAATCCTTCACAGGAATGTCCTAGACCAGGGGTGGGGAATGCGGCCCGCGGGCCAAAATCATTTGGTCTGGCCCTGCCAAGGAACTTGAAATTCAATAAATCTAGGAGCTTTTTTCATAGCTAGTTTTTAAGTTGATAATTGTGTATGGCCCTCAAATGATGTCATAAATATTCAAATGGTCCTTGGCAACAAAAGGTGCCCCAGTCCTGTCCTAAGACTGACACTATGCCAAGATAATGCAGTGAAGGCCTTGCATCATTCTCTCCTTTCTAACAGCCTTTTGAAAAAAAGTTAAGCGAATAAATGAATCCACTTCCCCCTCTAAGACAGGGCTTCAAGAGGACGAGTCTCACCCAATGGAAATACAGACCCTTGCCACTGATGGGGCAAAGGACGAGACACAATGCTGAGCGGACCGGCAGGGCTGGTTTCTGACCATCTAGAAAAGTGGCCAAGCCACTCTGGTCACTGCCAAAGAAGTGTCTGAACCTCATGCAAGGAATTACAGAACTCATGTGCCCCACAGCGGGAGGCAGTACAACAGCAGTTTTCATCAACTTACAGATTGCATGGTCCTCCAGTTCTTCTAGCACGAACATTAACACAGGCGGGTCTGTGGTCATTTGCCACCAGATGGTAAATGCGAGCCCCACTGGGAACACTCAGAGCTCCAGAATAACCCAAGGGCCACAACTCAGGTCTCAGGAGCAACTGTCTCATAAAAGTCCCAGGCTGCTCCTAAGACCAGACAGCACTGTTCTGCCATCAGCCTGGGGCAAGCCCCAAAGGGCAAGAAAGTTCCTGACCAGGCAACCAGCTCCCTAGGCAGCCTTCACCAAGGATGAAAAGTGCCTAGCAGAGACCACCAACCACCGCCCAAAGGCCTCACTTTCCCTTCCTTTCTCCTGGGCTGGCCCTTCCCAACTGCAAGGCGGACCTGCCAACCCAACCTCTCTCCTTCAACATCTCATTCCTACTCCTACTCCTCCCCTGCCCCTCCAGTTTTATAGGGTTAGATGATGCATACTGAGCCTTCACCTCTTCTGAGCAAAGAAAACCTGATGCAAGGATGAGAGGGAGATGGTCCTCTGATCCTGGGGCTCTAAGAAGCCCATGGAATGCTGACTGTCTGAATGTCTGTCTCCCTGAAATGCGACTTTAGAACCTCAGGGAAAGAGTTTGGAAGATAAGATGGAGAGGCAGAGCTGAAGAGGACTGCTAAACCTGTAAACTCCTCCCCACTTCCTTGGTTCTTCTAGAACTCCCACGCAAAATTCAGACAAATGTCTATGTCAATAGATTCCAACGTCTCCCTGTTCTGTTACCAAACTCAATTAGTAATCGCATGCTAGGTCCAAATCCAAGACTAATCTTTTATTAGGGACATAGCAGAAATTACTCAAATTCTCCGCAACCAAATAATTGCTTTTACTTTTTTATAAAAAAAAACACACAACTAAATTAAATGAAGAGAAAAGGACTGCTCCCTAGGCCCAAAGAAACTCAGTCCAAACTCCTTGTATTCATAGGTCTGACACCCACATACACATACAAATATTCACTCATGACCTGGACCTGAATCCTCCACTGCAAGCACCGCTGACAGTGAGGCAAAGGCTCAGGAACTTTGGGTCACTAATAGGTGGCTTTGGGATGTCCTATGTCCTCAGCCTGCCACCTCCCTCAGCACACACAATCCAGCCTGCAGCCAAGTGCCTTGCCTCCTCCACAGCCAACCATCCATCAGCACCAAGCACCCCACCCCTATTCTCCAAGAGCTGACACATGCTCCTGGCACTCTGTCATCATACCAAGATCACTGGCCACAGGATTTATTACAGAGACCTAGGTTCTGAGAGCTGACACCTTCATCTGGCCTCACAAGGACAGAACTGCCAGGTGGCGTGCACCATCAGGGACCCTGCAGAGAGCTTCTGCTGTTTCCCCAGGTGATGGGGCTCCAGAACAGCCTTGCCAATCAGTTAAAAGCTGGCTCCAGTGCGTCGCCACGCTGACAGGCTGGCCTCACATCCATTCCTCCTCCCATCCCCCAACCTTATGGAAAATGCTAATTAATCACAGTCAACCAGGAAGCTACAGGATAACTAGCAACTAGTCATTCCCAGCTGACAACGCCCCAACACAGACTCAGGACAATTAGATTCTATCCAGCGCTGCCAGGTGCTACCTGCCCCTCTGAGTATCGGGTGCCCAACCATAGGCCGGAGAGACATACCAGGGAGATCCTAAGGCGCTCCCAGCACAGGGAGCAGAGATGGATCCACAACAGAGAAGAGAAGCTGCATTTGAGCAGAGGCAGGGCCCGCCTGCTCCAGCACACTCACCCCGCCAGCCATCAGAAGCTTGTACCGGAACTCAATGGTGGGGTTGTTGAAGGTGAGCTTCTCACAGCGCAGGTGGTTTACAGGCGGGTTGCCCTCCAGGTTCAGGAACAGGTCATAGGTGAAGCAAACCTTCCTTGGCTCCTCCTTAAACAAAGAAAACAAAGAAGTCCATTTCAGAGGGTGGACCAGAGGCTGCAGGGACAGCCACGGGACAGAGGTGGATGCCTGCTCCCCACTGCCAGCCCCTGCCTTTCTTTGTCCTTTGCTTAGCCTCTACTTCTCTCTCCATGCGCTTACTTCTCATCTACCCAGTTACCCAAAACAAACTAACTTACTCTTTGCAGAGGATCCAGCAAAGCAGGCTCCACAACAGAAGCAAAGATCATTTAAGAATTATGTTCTTGGAGGGTTAATGGAAACATTCTTGCTGATGGCATGTACAGCCTCTACTCACACACTACCCCGAGCTCTCGCAGTACCTGCCACCAAACAGAGAAATCAAGCTCAAAGACACACAGCTGCTAAGTGACAATGCTGAGACTTGATCACAGGCTCTGAGGCCCACGATCCTAGAGCCTCCACCCATCCCTTTCCCAAAAGGGAAATTTCTCCAAAGATATACAAATTGCCAATACGCACCTGAAATGATGTTCAACATCACTAATCATTAGGACAATGCAAATCAAAACCAGGAGATATCACCTCACACTAGGATGGCTATTATTTTAAAAACAGAAAATAACAAGTGTTGGTAAGGACATGAAAAAACTGGATCCCTGTGCATTGCTAGTGAGGACAGAAAATGGTGCCATCACTTTGGAAAACTATCTATGAATTCCTCAAAAAGTTAAAATAGAATACCTATATGACCCATGTATCTCTCCTAGATACATACCCAAATGAAAACATATATCCACACAAAAACTTGATGTCTATGTCCATAGCAACATGATTCACAACAGCCCAAACTGGATACAACCCAGTGTCTGTCCATTGATGGATGAATGGATAAACACAACGTAGTCCATCCAGACAATGGAATATTACTCAGCCATAAAAATGAGTGAAGTTCTGACGCTACAAAATGGATGAACCATGAAAACATGATGCTCAGTGAGAAAAGCCAGACACACAAGGCCACACAGTGTGTGATCCCATTTATATGAAATGTCCAGAACAGGCAAATCCAGAGACAGGAAATGGGTTTGTGGATGCCAGGGGCTGGTCAGGGGGACATAAAAACTAACTACTGCCCTGGCTGGTGAGTCATCCTGTACACCAAAATGTTGCAGGTTCAATTCCTAGTCAGGGCACATACCTAGGTTGCAGGTTCGATGGGAGGCAACCAATAGATGTTTCTCTCTCTCTCTCCCCCTCCCTTCCTCTCTCTCTAAAATCAATAAACATATCCTTGGGTAAGGATTAAAAAAGCAGTCAAAGAACTAACTGCTAATGGGCAGGAGGTTTTTTTCTGGGGTGATGAAAATATTCTGGAATTACAAAACTTTGTTGATTGTACAACACTGTGAAGATACTAAAACCCACCAAGTTTGTACCCTTTTAAAGGGTGACTTTTCTGGAAAGTGAATTACATACCAAATTTTAAAAATGCTCTCTACTGAGAGAGAAAAACTAGGAGTATGGGAGCCAGTGAAGGTTTCTCAGCAACTCAAAGGAGACTTTATGACAGGTCACTTGAGGAGGAAAGGGGGAGCAAAGAGGCCGAGTCCCTCACACAGGCATTTCCACACCCTCTTCTCTTCACCCCAACCCTGGGGAGAGAGTGAGCAGAGATGGGCTTGGCAGCCTGGCTACTCCTCCCTGGCCTCCCAAGCAAGGCCTTCCTGGTTCATATGAGTAACACCAAACTTTTCGAACTCTGGTGAATGGGTGAAACCTGAGAGCAGGGACCAGCTGACCATGTGTCCACTTCTAAACAAAGTGGACAAGAGTGCGGGCCTGCAGTACACCTGGATGACTCTATTCCCCCATTCAGGCCACAAAGGTACAAGGCACACTTGTCACATGAAAGAGTCACAGACCCTGCCTTCCAAGAGCTGTGTCTGGTGAGGAGACAAATAAACAGGCCCTCTGGAGCCACTGCCAGCCAATGAGGCAACACTGACCTTGACCCTCCCCACAGCCCCAGGTCTCAGGAAGCAGGGTTTCTACTTCAGCCCATCTAAACTAGACTTATAAAAGTCCCTCTTGTCCAAGGTGAATGTGTGACCTAGTTTGGGGTAATGAAATGTAAGGAAGGCAGGTGTCACCCTAGGGAGGGCTTTTCTTCCTAAATAAAAAATACTATAATATGCAAGGAAAAAGTCTCAGCACCTCTTTTCTTCCCGCCAACCTGTGTGACGCAATGCCTGCCAATGCGGTGTCAACTACGGGAGGACTGTAGAGAAAGCCAGGAGAGTATCAGATAGGCAGCCCAGGCACCATGGAGCCACTGCCCCAAGGCCATCAGCTGCCTCCTGATATCTTGTCAAGGAGGGGAAAGATGCTCTGTAGTAAGCCACTGTTATGCCCCTAAACATGTCAGGTGCCCCTCTGTGCCAGCACTGCCGCGTGTCCACCCTTATGAAGGCACCTGTCACAAAAGGTGTGTCTCCCCTCCAGACCCAGAAGCTCTTAGAGTCAGAAGCTCTACGGATTCCTGTCTTATACTCCCTCCAGGTGCCAGTCCAGAGGAGGTACTCCATATTTTCCAAAAGAATGAAATTCAAGAATGGTTAAGAGAAGGGCCTGACCCAATAATGGGAGTGGGGAAGGGCCAAGAACACCCCCTGGGCCCTGTGACAAGTTTGGATAATGTCTGAGTTAGTGTAGTCAAGAAGGGTCAAGGAGGTGGGAAGAAGCACTACAGGCCACAGCATCCTCTCTGGGAACCCTGAGAGTCCACATGGCAAGCAGGAAGGGGAAGNAAGAAGCACAGCATCCTCTCTGGGAACCCTGAGAGTCCACATGGCAAGCAGGAAGGGGAAGATGGATAGAAGTGGCAGCATGTGACCTGGAAAGAAGGGCCTTGGCTGTCACTGGGAGGGTATTACATCCTGGGGCGAAAGGGTCTATAGGGATTTAGGCTCAGGAACAACGAACCCAGATCCATGTTCTGGGAAACAAACAATCTCTGGCCTTTAGGACATTGCGACTGGGAGCAGGGTCTGAAACTCGCAAATAAAGGTAAGGAAAACTCAAGCATCTATCCTGCCTCTCCATAGTGTAATTACATAGAAGATGAGAGGTGAGCTGCTCGGATGTGTTCCAGCTCCTGCATGGAGAAGGAATGACCCCATCATGGTTCTCTAACCCCCTCATGGGTCAGTAATCCAGGCGCTGCCGTCAGCTGCTGCCCATATCACACACACAGAACACCGGACGAGACCGATGCCACCTTCCCAGGCAGATCTCACATCTAGACTCAAGTTCAAATGAAGAGGGAATACACAAAGCAAGACTGTGCTAAATAAACACCACAGGGATGGAAGCAGCAAAAAGCCTGACAGTACCAAACTCGCTACAGGACAAATGACCTAGTTTCTTCAACAAACTGCACAGAAAAAAATGGTAGAGGGAGAATCTACAGATGAAAAGAGACGAACTCATGAGTCACAATGTGTGGATAGCCCTGGCTGGTATGGCTCAGTGGTTAGAGCATCGGCCCAGGCAATGAAGGGTCACCGTTTAGGATTCCCAGTCAAAGGCATGTACCTGGGTTGCAGGTTCGATCCTTGGCCCTGATCAAGGCACATATGGGAAGCAACCAATCGATGTCACATATGGTAAGCAACCAATCAATGTCTCTCTCTCACAAATGTTTCTCTCTCCCCCTCTCTTCCATTCTCTCTAAAAATCAATAGAAAAAAATATCCTCAGATGAAGATTAACAAAGAAAAGAGCACCAAGGCCCTGCCAAATATGGGAGCACCCCAAGACTCAGAAGCAGACCTTCCTCTCTTTGCCTTCCCTGGCTGACTCCATGCTCAACCGCAGCTTTTCCTTCTGGCTTCATGGTAGGTCCAGCTGCATCTCCCTGGTTCCTCAGCAAGCCCCTTCTCCTCGTCTCCCTGGACCACTCATCACCTCCAGCTGGTTGTCCAGCTGCTTCCACTATGGCCCCCTTTTAATCCACAAAGTTGAAACTGTCTCTTGGCTCACCCCCAACCCACTTCTTCAAAACCTGCCAGTGGCCTCCCTCTGAGCCTTGAGCAAATGCCACACTGTCACCACAGCCAGTGCAATCCAGCCATCTCAGGCCATGTGGCTGTCTTCTACTCCCCACATCCAGCTCTCCCCTGGCTGGCACTCAACCCTTGACAGGCCTTCTCGGACCACTGCCCCCAATCACAGTGTGATTCACCCCCATAAGGACTAACCAAGGTCCACAGGATGGATGTCTGTTTTCTGTCTATGCACCCCAATGAACTGTGAGCATTCTGGACAAAAGGACCCTTTTTTATTTCTGATAGGCCTAGCACTGACCAAGCACCTGTGTCTGTTCAAAGTGCCCATATACTCATTTACCCTACACAAACTTAATGGGTGCCTGTCTGGCAGTGAGCCAGACCAAGGAGGGATCTTTGACCTTATGGACGCTCAGGGTCTGTAGTTAGTCACCACAGCAGCAATACTGACATGACACGAACTATATACTATGTCACATCACGTTGTGGAACATTTACTGTGGCCAGGTACTTTTCCAAGCACTTATTTTGTATGAATGTTCCACAGACCAAAACACAGATGCTCTTACTGTCCCCATTTCACAGATGAAGAAACTGAAACAAAGGCAGTAACCGCCTGGTGCCATGTGACTGATCAGGGGAGAGCCAAGATTCACTATAGGGGTTCTCTGAACCCCTGGGGAGGACTTCATGCCCACACAAACAAAACAGGTCAAAGCAAGAGCCCGAAACAAGACACCAGGAAGAATTCTGTATGACTCCCCAGAGATGGGCAGTGCAGGGCAAAGTTAGAGGCAGCATCAGGGCCAGGCAGAGGCCTCCCTGAGGTACCAGTGTGTGCCCTGCAGCTGATGTGTCCCTCAAAGCACACTGAGAAAGGCTGACCGGAGCTCCCTTTGGACAAGCCCGAGAAGCTTGGGAACTTCCAGGAGGAAGACAGACTACTTCCTGACCAGC